ATATGATAATAATGATCTGGTATAGTATATTATGAATTATTATAAATTTAGACTGTTTGTCTGATATGATATGATATGATATATCAATTATACCTGGCCTACAGATAACGTTCTAATGCAATGCTGTAAAGCATTTCTGGTTTTATTTGGTGTTGAATAGATAATTCATGTGTTAGGCCTAAACGCGGCCCTTCCTCCCAGCTAAAATATATGACTATATCTAGATACATTACTAAAATATGGGTATGAAGACCAAATTCGAAGAAGATCAATTTGATTTGAACCAATGCCATGGAATTGAAGGGCAAGCATCTTCATTCCATTACAATATATTGCCTAAAGCGTACAATGTCTTACAACTATGCTTACGTCTTCCAAAAGCATACCTCAATGCGTCGACAATAATTCCAACAGCGCTTTTAACGTCACCTCGTACTTGCTTGCAAGCTACATTTGCACTCTTGCCATCGAAATCATCAATGCGCACATTCGACCAATCACCTTTATAAAAAAGTTCTAGACGACCCTCCGTATTTCCACTGGTATCCGATATTAGACGGACATCTAAATCTGGATTCAACAATACAATAAGTAATTCTAGCTAAGGACTGTACATATATACATCTATTTTCATGTAGACATATGTCCCTACTGTAACTAATACTATTATTCATTTTACTGGGAACACGTGCTCGCAATCACACTGATATGTCTATATAATTAACCAGAGAATATTTTCACATTGAAAATCGTTAGCTATGATGGGATAACCTTATAGACCAAGATTTACGCATCAAAAACGTGTGTTAGGGAAAGAATGAAATTTTATTATCTTATAATCCTTTGTGTATTTTATAAATGTGTACCACCTCCACAAACCTGAGAAACACATTAGACCAGCAGCCTGCATTTCGGAACATCCCATATCGGTACTGTAAGTCTTGTAAGGACAATCACGTAACGCGTTTTCACTACCGTTACAATTGAATTGGCTATATAAGTACTCGCCATCTCCATTTCCATACTGAGAATTAGTGCTAAAGAGAATAATGCTTTTATTCGATTATGCGTAAGAAATACACATGCGTCTGTCGTGATATTAGAGAGTTTTCGCAAGCTTACGAAAACGATAACGAATACGGTTACGTCATCAAATTTGTAGATAACCCTTCCCATGCAGTAGCATATTATCTGTCACCAGCGTAGGCGATTCCTCTTTTTGTATGACACAAGGATCATATGCAGCTCGTACAGCTAACTGTCAAGAATGTTTTACACACGAATGACGATAATGATAATGACGTATTCGTTATCCTTTTCGTAGGGTTGCGAAATCTCCCTAATGTTCTATTCTCTTAAATCTCTGTGGGCGTGTTGTGTTTGGTCATTTTGTATCACATTTGTTTTTGTGCCTACTGCCTCTTCGGGTGTCAGTGGACACTTGGCTATTGTCTGGCAATGGATCTTGCAAGAACAAATCCGGTTGGAGGAATGATGGGAGGTCCTAAGAACTACAAAATTCAGCAATCTGTTACTTGTACAGTTCCAAGTAAATCGCCAACACAGAGCTGCTAGAAAAGACCTGCCTTGAAAGGACTAAAAAGTCAATAATCTGTTACTTCTACAGTTATTCCAGTAGTTGCCAACACAGAAAGCGTGGGCGAGTTAAAAGTAGCAAAAAAAAAATTAATTAATTAATTAATAAATTTAAAAAATTTAAAAATGTCAAGCAGTATACTCGCTCCCGCTGGGAGCCTATTTTCTATTTGGTCAAAATTGATAACTGTTACTTACCTTTGACCGTTTAACGGAAATCCTACGTTTCCAAATCCTAACTGTCTGCATGCTACGATAGCGTCCTTCTCATCCCAGCCTTGATCACATATATTCCCCCAAACACCCTTATCTTCACCGCGCTGAAAAACCTCCACACGTCCCTCTCCCGATAAGCTTGATCCCAGCCTCGGTATGAGCCGAAGCTCAAATTCTAAAACCAATCAGAACACTAAAGTAGATTTTAAATTATGGAGACACTCAGTTTACACGGTCATTACCGTTCCAGAAAACAGAGAAGTAACTTCAAAATGTATTTTTCGACACTATATCACAAAAAAATAATTTCGATTTCGAATTGCAACTTTTGGCGGCTTTTTTAACAATTATTTAACTAAACTTTTAACTTACCATTATTTCCATTTACCACAATCAAATGACACATAAGGCCTACCATGAATACAGATATTACATTCCTGATGATTGAAAACATGGAAGACATGATTTTTTTACCTCCCAAAAGGGGGGCCGGGGCCGGGCCGGCCCCCCCTAAATCCGCCCCTGGACTCAGTTTACACGGTCATTACCGTTCCAGAAAACAGAGAAGTAACTTCAAAATGTATTTTTCGACACTATATCACAAAAAAATAATTTCGATTTCGAATTGCAACTTTTGGCGGCTTTTTTAACAATTATTTAACTAAACTTTTAACTTACCATTATTTCCATTTACCACAATCAAATGACACATAAGGCCTACCATGAATACAGATATTACATTCCTGATGATTGAAAACATGGAAGACATGATGGTTGAGATATTGTCCTGTCGATCTTCTTGCGTCACTAAAATGTGTTCAATAACAAAACACCACCAGGAAGCACCGATAACGGATATGATGTACACTTCTATTTCTATTCAGTTCAATATGTGCCTTGTGGTGATAATTTAAGCGTGTAACCGCACTACACACAGTGTAAACGTAAGTAAACACACGTGCGTTGTTGCACATACTTGTGTTTGTGGGACATGCGTGTGTTTCTTGCCATGTTCTCATTGGTCATATGTTAAGTTTGATGAAACTCCAGAAAGGTCCTTATGTCAGCTGGTGAAAATATTAAGTACAATATAGCAATGTAAAGAAATATAAATGTTCAATTTCGTTTATATACATATAGGGCCTACATTTATTGGAATTAAAGGAACAGATCTATTATTGTTTTCTTCCGTATAACGCGGGCATGTTTGAATAGTATGCTGTGTTTGACGACGACGGAAATGACCCGGCTTAAAATGAGAAGAGGGAGGAAATCGATAAGTTCCTCAGAGGACTACACAGTATATGCAAATCATTGCCACACCTAAAGAATCAAGGCTAGTTTATCATTGTTCCTTAACTGTCTCTCCCACCTGAATTCATTCTTTGTCGACATCGCAGTTACACCAGTAAGCCTAAAGCAGGTTTTCCACTAGGCGAATTTATTCGCGCGAACCAAAAGCGTCATTCATGCGCATTCACATTTTTGCGAAACGAAAAAATGCACAACCAATCAGAATTCAGGAAGCGAACCGACGCTTTGATTCGCGCGAATAAATTCCCCTACTGGAAAACCGGCTTATGCGCATACTAAAGTATTCCAGGTGAAACTGGAAGGGAAAAAAATCCTAATCGCATAAAAAATTGGTATATTCACAGGCACTGTGTCAACATCATTAAATGTGTGTGGTTATTTCAGTTTTATTTGTTTATAGCTGTAATATTTCTCGGCACGGTGTCTCCAAGTTAATTCTAATTCAGCCTTCCAGAAACACGTCTATACATAAAAACTAGCCCACCCTCCACGGATCTCCCTTGTACAACGTCCAAAATGAACTTTTCATGAAACTAGAAGCGAATGTCTTGTGTCTTTAAATTCTATCTGTTCCTTGGAAGACGAGCCTTTTTTTTTAAGAAGAAAAACTTGAATATGTTAATGTCTACATGTACACTTATTGTTTCGGCCTTTCATGTTTGTTATTTAAGAACAATATTTCTGAAAGAAAAAACAATTTTGTGGAAGTACTTCAGAGTAGTAAAACTTATAAAATAAATAAACCAACGCTGAATCATTGTTCTTCACTTGCTAATAAAGGAATTGTTTATTCAAAAGACTCATTAACTGAAAAAATATGTACATAAATATAGTTATGGATTTTATGGTAGGTACAATTACTCGCAGCCCTAAAAGGGAACTAGAAAGATGATTTTTTTTTTCTAGCGGGGATTTTGGATATGTCACTAGTAATAGAATCAACTTTAAAATTGTTTTTTTGCAATCTATTCTATTACTGACACATCAAAAATCCTCCCTAGAAAAAATATCTTTCTACAGCAATTCCCATTTAAGAATTTAAAGACAACGCACCTTTCCAATAAGCCCCTCTTGGATATTGTTGCCAAGCTGTTGGGTCATATGCAACACTATTATTGGCTATTAAACAACACATTCATGCATAGAAATGTAAATGATCAAAGTTAAGTCATGAACTCCCTATGAGGAACTGACTACAGCAAGTTTAGTTTCAACTGGATCTAATTAGAGACCAAACCAAGAGACCACATTTTCAAGACCAGTTTGAGGGTAAACTATATTTTATTTAACATATTCAACAAATATTTATAGGCATAAACTAATTTTACTTCAGCAAATACATTTTAAATGTCTATTTAAATGTCTGCAGTGGTGTTTGCCAGTGCTGGGAGAGGCTGTCCAGCGCCCTCAGCCTCCCATCCACAGGATGGGTTATACAGTAGCTATTAATAACAATATCCTTCGCTGTGAGTTTCGCTTGTGTTCTTGAGCAAAGGTACTTTTATATACATTGCTTCAGTCTACCCAACTGTATCAATGGGTACCAGCAAACTGCTAGAAGTAACCTGTGGTAGACTAGCGTCTTATCTAGTGGCAGCATTACACTCTCATCCGCTTCACACTACATGAAAATGGGGGTAAGCTCCTGCCCATATGAGCCCTGTGGATTTACTTACTTACTAACAATACTAATACAGGATTCCCCAAAGCATTCAGTGTTTCAAAAACCTCCTCGTTGGATATATTACATATTCTGACAGCAACACAACACAAAAGCAACAACCTCGTTTCTAGAGGGAGATTTGCTGTCACAATGTCGAAACACACTGCGAGTAGTTAACAACATGGTGTGCAACCTTTGTTGTTCATTAATCGTGTACTGCATACAGAAAATATCCAGTGACTAAATCGGTATCAACAAAACATCTACCACTAACAAAGACGAATCTGTTTGTTGACAACAATGAGTCTTTCTTCATCTGCAAGGTCTCGAAGAGCGCCATCAAACATTTCCTTAGTGATCAACTGCGTAAATCAATAGAGGAATAAGGAGGCATTTAAAAAAAAGAAAGAAAGAAATTTTAAATAACTTTCTAAAGCTTGGTTTCCATAAAAATCGCCACATGCTATCGCCAATTTCATTGGTAACGCTGATTGGTCAATTGAATCCCAGAGCATTCCTGATTGCGTCAGGAACAGCTATGCAACGCTGTAACAACTGCGTAGCGATACAATGGAAACCAGGCTTAAACAATATTGTATTATTTATATTAAAATATAAACTATGCCAATTATATAATAAAGAATATTTTAGGTAAATTTTCCTGATTAATAAGCCAAAAAAACGTTTTTTTTTAACATTCCACCTTTAGTTTCGATCAGCTTTATTGAAATATAATATGTCATTTATTAATACAAAATTAGCAAATATTACCGTATCAGATGACTCCCTAAGTTCCTCAAATGTTTTCTGGTATTTGAGGGTTGCAACTTTTCCTTTGCCTTGGATGAGCTTGTTCAATGCTTGTTTAACTTCCTGTCGTTGTTTGCGAGCTGATGTACTCATACCAGTGGCCAGGATGTCGATGTTGATGGTACCATCTCGTGGGTCAAATGCTGACTGCTTCAGAGCCTCGTAGTGCAGTCTGTTGAAAAACAATGTACATTTGTTTTTTAAACAAACTTCTTAAGTTGTGCAAAGCAGGATGACAAAATTTTAAATCCCATGAGTCATATTTCCCCCAAAAAACTTGAAATACAAAATTCAATCTACCTCCTAGCTTCTTGAACATCCACATTCTCTACAACATTTGAAAAGCGCATTCTTGCATGAGCCTCGGACAGACGAATAAGAGATTCCAGCTGTCTGGGATATGCGGACACCATGCCTTTAGAGCTACCAATCTTGCGCATATCAACATACGATTGGATCAACAACTGGCTAGCCTCTTCACTCAGCTTTGGGTGAATGTATGAGCGAGCATATGAAATGTAGTCCCTCAAGAGATTCATATCCTGAATAAATTACAGATAGAAGAAATAAACAATTGTATACATTTACTGTACACTTGTTTACTACCATTGGTACATGCTATAAAGGTGAGTTAAGGGCAGGAGATAAACCCACAACTCGCAGCGTAATAGTGTTGATTTGCATATGGGCGTGGGCTGTGACTACATAGCCGATATAAAGATGCACTTATACTGTAGTAGCTTCTTGTTGACATCATTCCACAACAAGGGTTGACATTAAACATAACATGGGGGGGGGGAGGTTCTTTAAAGTGCACACAAGCCCAATCATCTCCTTATCAAGCCCATACACTAGTTCACACTCTGTTGGGCTGTTGATTAAGTTCTAAAAACCTGACAAAACGATTTTCATGTGCAGTGGGGGAAAGTAGAGTATTGATAGGAACAGGGCTGCTAAGTGAATGCTTGTCAAGCCAGGTGTGTACAGTGGACCTCCATCTAAGAAGACTTGGTTCTACCAAACACACCGTGGATGAGGGGCAGCTCAACCAGCGCTGATGTTATGGCTGTATTTAGCGGCGCCCCTGCCTTATCGCTGGACTCATCTGTTGGTTTGGTCATTATAACAACAGAGTAATTATGCAAGAGGATTATTTGGTAATTGTTCAAAGATTATGCCTACCAAATGCTCTTCTTCAGTTTCCTCTTTTCCTTGATGGTAAAGCGACACTAAATGATTTGCGAGGCGACGGTCATAAAGTTCATCTTGTGGATCCAACATCAGAAAAATCAAATCAAACCTAAGAAGGGAAAAAGAATCAGCTATCAAAACATGCTTTCAGTTACTGAATATGATTTGTCATAAAATCTTGAAACCTCAAAAATTATGTGTTGTTCAGAAGGCTCAATCGAAATATTTTTTATCTTTTAAAACGAACCTGGAAAGTAGAGTGTGAGGTAACTGGATATTATCAATGATGGTTTTCTTTGGGTTCCATTGGGAGTCAACTGGATTGGCAGCAGCAAGAACCGATGTTCTGGCATTCAGGGAACAGATAATACCGGCTTTAGCTATTGACAACGTTTGTTGTTCCTTTTGAATAGAAATGAGACAACATGAAAACATGATTCTATCTTTCTTTGTTTTGCAAACCAACTGTCCGTTTTATTTTTTCCTGTTGGTACTCCCATTGCCATTAATATATAGAAATTATTTTTCAATTCTTCACTTAAAATACTATACGCCTGCCACAATCTCCTGAAATGGAATTTATAATTCTTCCTCAAATAAACACAAAACGTTTATCAATCCAATTACCAAGCTGCTTAAATTTCAACATCCATTCTCTATCAACCAAGTGGTAGGATCCAAGGGAATCCTCTATTTCTTTTTTCTCCTCTGCCTAGATGATTTTTTGAACAATTAAAAATATTCCTTTAACTCCTTAACCCCTTCTAAAGATTTTTAGAAATATTTGTCTAAACAAGGTGCAGTATACAAAGCCTTGCCTAAGTAATGTTTTGTTATTCTTACCATGACCTCATGAAGAACAGAACGTGTGCTGTCATTCATCTTGTCAAATTCATCGATGCAACATATTCCATTGTCACTGAGAACTAGGGCACCACTACAAGAAATATCAAAAGATTTACACCACGAATGTTCATTCCAGATTTTCTGCTGTGAATGCCAACTTTTTGAAATATGTATTCACAGATTTGAACTACATTGCCTAAACTACGATACACTGCACAGCAGAAAACCAATACCAATAAAAAGAAATGGAAATACTCACGTCTGTAAGACTAGCTGTCTTGTCTCTGGATCTTTTGTAACATAGGCAGTTAGACCAACTGCACTGGAACCCTTGCCAGATGTATACTGCCCTCTTGGGACAAGATGGTAAACATACTGGAGTAACTGAGATTTGCTTGTGCCAGGATCACCACAAAGTAGGATATTTATATCAGATCTGGAAACAATTATTCATATAATCAATTTATAAAAATAATTGAAGTCATTTATAAATTGATCTTTTTATTGTGCACTTGGAGATACAGTAATTGCTGACATTAAAATATACAAGAAAATTATGAAATTTTGAATATTGCGAAAAAAATTGTGTCTATTTAAAGAATGTTATTCCTATTATCTATGTAAATATATTAGAGATAAAGTTGATAATTTACCTGAAATTTCCCCTTCCTGCTTCAGAAAAATCCTTTTTGGTGGCACTAAACAACTGGCAGAGGATGCCTTTTTTAATGTCTTCATTTTCAAAGATGCTGGGTGCTAAAAATATGATATTGCATGATTCAAAGGTGGTGTAAAGAAGTTTGTGCCAATATTAAAAGCCAAAAAAAATCAATCTAAGAGTCAACCAACCAGTCAGTCAACCAACCAATTAGCAAGTCAATCAGCATATTGTGACAAAGACTGTTCCAATATCTAATGCATGTGTGTGTGAAATTACATACCTAAAGCAGCTGATAGGCGTTCATAGATGTCTGCTGTCTTAGAAAGGGCGACCAACTGAGCTTTACGATCCTCACTAAATAAATGCTGATTATCACTGTGCAATAAACAAAACAAAAAAATTATTATATTACATGGATAATTGTAATAATATACAGTACACCATAAACGATTGAATAAATGCCACAGTACTTATGAAATGTTTGGAGGCTTCACTGCAGTGCTTATTGGTGCACTTACAATACTCATTTTGATAAAAGTGGTAATGAAGCCATGTTAGTCTAAACAATATACAAAGAAAATTAAAAGGCAGCACTCTGAGACTAACTTATTTAACACAGGCTTTCGCTGGCTGTCAATACCAGCTTTGTCAGGTGTGTGACACCTGATGAAGCTGGCACTGACTGCCAGCGAAAGCTAGTACTCATTTTAAAAGTCGTTGGAAAGTAAATGCCGGTCTCCCTCCAATTAAAGACAACTTTAAGTTTGTATGGTCTTTAGTAGATTTGGTCACTAATTAAAATAATAAAGATAAAGACATTTCTAATATGGGACCACAGGAAAGTGGTCTCTAATTGGAGGGGTCCTTAATTAGAGGAAGACCTGTATTATACAGTGCAGCAGGAATATAAATAACTTACTCTTCATTATGTTCATGAAGCCTTTTATTAGTATCCTTGCGAAACTGAATTACGTCAATGTAAGTTTTGTAGACAGCTTTCACGTTTCGTTGTTTTGGGTTTATACGCAGGGGTGTAGCACGATAGATACCAGTGATGGTTACTCGATCACCGGGCTGTACCGAATCCACTAGGTCATTGTGAGCATACACAACAACGGTGTGTGGTGTTTGACCTGGAGGCATGTCATCTACATATTAAAAAAAAAAAAACCATTTATGTCAGAGATTTTCATATATTTTACCATGGGCTTATTCAGATGAAGGCTAGCATCTGAACTAGGAATCGAGTGATGTTATATTTGAGCATGGAATTGTATACTAAAATACAGTATATTGTAACTTCACAATACCTGGTGATTCTTGGATTTTCACCATCTGCTTGTCACTGAACTGTGACCTGTTATGGATGAGCGTCATACTAAACTTGGTCTGGCAATTTTGACAGACCGTTGGTTCAGCGATACGGCCACGATCAATCTCCACAGTTGCCGTTGCTGCACAATTCTGACAAGAGAAGAAGGCTTCTCGCATCTCCGGCATCAGACCAGATGTGCGTATCACCATTCCGTTAATAGTTATCAATTGGTCAATATCTAAAGAGTAAAAAAAATTCCAATAACAACAATAAAAACACAGTTTATAAATAACAAGTTTATGATATAAATAGCATCATCATTTTTATAATTATGTTTACTTATCAAATATATTTTATACCTTCAGGGTTCAGTAATCGCATGTTTTTTGTTTCTTCTGCATTGTAAGTTCTAACTTGAACTTGGTGCTCCAACTGAGTATCTGGGTAACGGTCAAAAAACAGCTCATTAACTGCCATGTCAAAGGTCGGAATTACTTCCTGTGGGTAGCAGATTAGTTGACGGTAGAGAATTTTGTCAAACTGTTTGATGTGAATACAGTTGACATCGAGGAAGGGCAACTCAAGTGTATGAATCTAAAAAAGGAGACAAGTAAATGAAATAATAAAGAGATAAATTGCAACCAATTAAAATGTGTTATAGAAGAAAATAACAATAACATTAAGAAAATAAATATATGGAAATATATCGACTCAATAAATATTCAATTTTCATCTATTTTTCAAATGACAATTTTTATCCTAATTGTTGATTGCCCAATATTGACCTCACCTCCTCTAGCTTCTGTAAATACAGTGGCTCATTAATGTCTAAGTTCTCCTGTTCTTGGAACACAGGGTCAATAAAGCGTTCTATGAACCGTCTGAACTTCTCTTTGGTTTCACTGACCACAACATCAGTACCCCAGATGACCAATTGGGGCCCTGCACCGTGGTCACTGGTTACAGCACCAGCAGGATCTGCCTCAGAACCAACTGGGTCAGAGCCTAGGTTAACTTGCCTCATCTTTCGCTCACTGCGGATATCAGTGCGGGGACGAATCGGTGTACCCCTATCATAATAATTAAAAAGTAATTTTCGTCTTTAATGATTAAATTCTGTTTAAAACATCTGTTCAAAAATGTTAACAAAAAAATTTAAATTATTAATTGTAAAATTGTTTTTAAATCAATAAAAGTTAAGTACATACTTTCCCCCAGGTGTTCCACTCAATCTGGAGCTGGGTGTGCCATAGTTCAAAGGTGAACTTAAGTCAATCTCACTTGCACCTATAAAGAAACAGGAGTTGCAAAATTTCTGTATAGATAATAGTTCGCATCTCTGATTAAATAGTTTGTTTATGACATGGAGCTTAGGTATCATTATATTTCAATATGATTTCCATGTTCAGCAATCACTGAAATTGTTATATGAGGACGTGAGCGGAGTTTTAAAAAACAAGAATTCAGCATGAAATGTATATAAAATGTTCTTCAAATGATCACACATGTGTTCTTACCATACTTGGAATGCGCTGGACTGGAGAACAATGATGTTTCATGAATACTCCTTGGTGCTGATGTTGGTGAAGATGGTAAAGGTGCTAGGTCTGCACTTGGTGATGAATCCAGGGGTCGTTGAGAAGATGGTGAATCTCTCTGTTTGGCTCTTCTTGAAGCTAAACAAATTCAAATAAACTTTCAGTTATTGATTCCAATATTGTAGAATGATATATGTACAATGATGATTTCAATAGATAAACTACAGTAACTAGCTCTTGTAAATAATTGTATCATTTTGCATATTCTGTTTTATTTATGTCCTTCGATTATTCTATGTCTAACTTTTATACTAATTTTTTGCATCGGGAAGATGAATTTTACTTGTATTTTATGTACTAATGACAATAAAAGAATCTTGTATCTTGAATGAGAGATGTGTTAATAATTGTTACTGTTACTCTGTTCTTTATTAAATGACATTTTCTTCCCATTTTTTGTACATGTTTTGTGCCTAAGATATGATTTACAGTAATAATGTGGAATGGAGATGTGGTTCAAAGAAAACATACGAGTGCCATTTTGAGCTGCCCTTTTCCCAGGGGTGCCATTTCTGGAGGGAGTACCATTGACCCCATTGGAAATTCGTCCTCTCTTGCTTGGTGTACTTTCACGACTTGATTCATCGGGTTGCTGTCGCTTACTGCGACGTGGTGTACCTCGGCTGCTACTTGCTGGTGATGACATCCTGATGAACAAAAGTTCACACGTATATCAACAATATCATAAATACAATTTTACAACTCATCATCTCCACAGCTGTACATCATTATTCTGTCATCAGTCCATAGCAAAGCCAGTTTGGATGAGCCTGTTCACATCTTTATTTAGGCCTAGTAAAAACCTGCACCCCCTAGACTAGGAAAATTATACACCCCCACCCATCATGAAAATTTGCTAAGCATAGCACTGCAGTGCCTACTTTAGCCTGACTCAACACTTAACTGTCCCTGCCACACAGCTGCCAGTTATTACCCCACCAGATCAGCCCCTTCAACGATATTCATTTCAATAGAACTAGGCCTAGGCTAGGCTTTGATAATTGGTGGTGGGAAAGACGGTTCTTTCAATTTTTCATAAAAACTGAAATCAGTTGACATTTAACAGTTAATATTAATTTATACTATTTTCGATTATTGATGGTGTATTGAATTATTACTTACTTTATCCTTTTCCAAAAAAAATTATTGAGAAAATTTAAACAACGTCTTTCTCTAAATCCAACCCTCACCTTCACTGCCGCGGTAAATCAACAATAGTGGGTTTTAAACTGCTGTATACAAAATCACGTGTCAAAAATACGCGCGAAAATGTAAGATGACCCTGGTCATAGAAATGTTCTGATAATCGGTACTCTATTCAATAAAGTTTAGACACTCAAATTTTAATAAAATATTTTACAATAATATAACATAAACTATAAAATTATATATTCACAAGGAATTAATTTATGTTCTGCAATATTACTGATTTATAAATTCCCGAATATAATGCCCTGGGTAATAAATATTCAGCTACAGACGTACCGCGGGAAATCCCCTTCTTTTAAAAATTACAACAAATAGCAACGAGCGGGCCTAGACTATGTGTATGTATGCTGGAGCACTTTTTTGTAGTACTGTATCTGGTAAGTAGTCTTCTTTTTTTTATCTTCATGTGTAACTGAACATTGATCTGTATTTTGCTGGTAGTTGAGCAGTTTCGTGTAATGAATAAGAATCAAGAAACGAATATAATAAATATAAGAGTAGACCTAGCTAGGGGCCTAGCTCATGTTCAGTCAATGTATGAATATGGAACAGATTCTAATCTATCTCTGTCTAGTCTTTTCTGTCTCTTAGTCAGGCTAGGGCCTATTTAACGTATGGTGCTGTAGTAGGAGTATCATAATTATGTGAAATGATGAAGCGCGCGACGCTGTCCTTATCGAGTACATTACAGTAGTGCAATGAAAACTAAAAGTCATGATAACATGTTCCAAATATACATCAAACTCATTTTTGTTTATATAGGCCTATTGTATTGCATTTTCCTATTATTATATATGCACATATATAATATATAAATAAACTGCATACCTACTTTATTTTCTAGATTTGTAAAATTATGTTAGTAAGGAGCAGTAGGACTAAAGCCACGCAAACAAATATTTAAAAGGATGAGTAAGCAGGGATCATTTTCAGTACCCTCTACACCGACTCATGAAAGGGGGCGTGTACCGCCAGGAGCGATCGCTGTCAATATGAAGTGGAGAGACTCACAGCTAGTGAAATCCTTATCAGGTGATTGAATAAAATAGTCATCAAACCTCTCACACCCACTACAATGTGTATAACCATGGACCTATTAATAAGACTTATTAATAGGTCCAGTATAACAGTGGTGGCTCAGATTTGACAGCAGTGGTCCAACAAGCTAGCTGACAGGTCCTGGATTAAACGTGTAGGATTGAGGGAAGAAATGTTATCCAATGGGATGCTCAGAATTTTGTTTTATAACCACTCATAGGAGGAACTACAATCAAATTTAGTTGGAATGGCAAAATAATATTTTCAGTCAGACAGTCTCAAGTTGTGTCCAACAGCAGGGGTCCACTCTTTTTTGGCAGAGAAATTTACCTCTGGGTCCAGTCTGGCAGACAGTAGAAGCAGTAGTTACCATGTAAAAATTAATTTGCTTTCCATGTATCTGTCCATCTTTTATTTTAATGTTCAAAGTACGCGCTGTATATATTGTATCGTTATTTTTATGAGATTTATAATAATTTATATTAATAAACATTTTTTCTTGTTGGGTATAGTGTCGACAATGAGCAATTATACTACCTGTTAACCTTTCTTCAAAGATCTGTATTGTTTAATAGCGAACATTTGCCTTATGTTTCTTTTGCAGGCAAGGTTAGGATAGTCTATGACAATCAACTGGAAGTAGTGGATTTCCATCCAGCTAATGACACTGCTGTTATTTACATATCGGAGCAAGATATGGTTGCCGGCACGAGCCACAAAAAGAGAATTGTGAAACTCAGAAAGGTTGGTATCCTCATAAACATTTCATTTCTTTCATGAAATTACTGTTGTTTTTGTTGTTATATTATTATTATTACTTTTATTATAACAGGGGTACCAGGTTGGAAGAAGTCATTTCGAGGAGGTAGATCTACAGTGGCTGATCCAGGAATTCGAAATAGAGGGGGTGGGGGCAGAGAGGTACTTCCACAGATGTAGTTTAGGCCTACCACCTCAGCCCCACCATGGTTGGGGCTGAGGTAAGAAAATGTATGATTATGGCACCTCTAGATGGTCAGAAATGGCACTCTCAGACATAAATTTTAGAATATAATTTTTTCCACATTTTTTTTATAATTTGGAAAAAATTAGGGGCCCAGGCGGGCTATCATTCCCCATTCACCCCACTCTGAATCTTCCACTTATCTGCAGTGGTTAATGACTTTTGTTAACACAGTTAATTTTATTTCTGCACACACAGTGATACACATAAAATACTGAAAACATGCAAATGATTTTGTGGGAGATGGGTTGTTTCCGGGAGATTCTTGCATGCTTGCGAGAGTACGGAAAGTTGTACCGTTTTCCGGGAGACTCCCGCAAGCTCCGGTAGACTTGGGACCCCAGTTATAATTTTTAATGTTTTGTAATATTGTTATTGTTATTATGATTGTTATTTGCTGCAATCAATCAATTGGTTCATAGGTGGCGTCAATGAAAGGTGTAGTGCTTGCTGAGAAAACGGACATGAGTCAGCAATATTGCCAGAGCTTGCAGAGGTTTGTTGTTCTAGAACTTGGGCTTGTTTTACTCTTTGTTACATCACCAACTGAGGCAGCTGATCTGTTAATTGAAATGGTAGGTGCATTACATAACACAAAGCCTTTCTTAGAAATTCTTTGGTAGAGCTTTTATTTAGTTTGGGGTGGGGAAATGCTGTTTTTTAAATCATGGTACATTTATCTCAAAACCAGAGGCTGTAAAAAAAGTCTAAAGACCGGGTATTCAACATTTTTAAGTTGGGGGGCCAGTTCCAATCTGTTGAGACGAGCTCGACATAAATTGTGTACTTCCATTTTAACCCCACCCATTTTCTTTTATAGTGGTGGATTCGAAATAGAATGGGCCAGGTAAGAAAAAATACCACCTCAGCCCCAGCATGGTTGGGGCTGAAGCAAAAAAATTTATGATTATGGCACATCTAGGTGGTCGGAAATGGCACTCTTAGACTTAAATTTGAATATAATTTTCTTTTCTTCTCCATTTCATTTTAGAATTTTGAAAAAAAAAAAAGAATAGCACTCCAATTACTCCCACCCTGACACTTGAAATTATCCTACCACAAAAATATCCACTCACCAGTGGTTGGGGTTGAGGTGAGCAAATTTTTAACGTAGATACCTCCGATTCCTGGAAATGGCACTTTCAAAAAATTGTTTTCAAAACAGTGTTTTCAACAGAGTACATGCGCTGAGCCTGCTGGCACCACAAGTGGTAGAAATCACATCATATCAGCGCCCAATATAATCTATTAGTCTCCCTCTCCCCCATGTCAATACCCTACGCCACTAGATACAGTGAGCTACACTCAGAAAAACCACACTCTTGTAAACAATGCTAGAGTAGGGGTGCCTAGATTGTGTTTCTATAAACAGAAAAACGTTTTCTAAATATGGGCCTGAAAATTATTTATTTTTAGCAGTGTTACGTGGGCCGGATCAAAATCTTTGGCAGGCTGGATTTGACCTGTGTGCCGTGGGTTGTATAACAGGGGTCTAAAGCTTGCTGGATTCCTAAAGTCGGAGTCACAATGCATCGTATGACATTCGTACGACCATCGGCCTGCAAATCCATCTCCGCTCTCGGTTGGCACTTTGCAATGCGACACTATCTGGTGATTGTTGGTAGAAAGTGCAAAATTTTTTTTTTCTTTTTAATGTGTGTTTTATTATGTTAATTTCCTGTGTTTATGTGTCTTCAATAATCTTAAATATATTTTTAGGTTTTAGAAGAAAGCAAACCATTTTCAAACCCATTTCGCATTAAAAGGAAAATACAACCGATCGATGGTTCAGTACTTTCTGCAACAAAGCTGATACCAAGACTTGGAAGTGTGAAAGCAAAAGCATTACTCATCAAATTTGGAAGCATAAAAGAATTATCAAAAGCATCTACTCAAGTAAAATGTTAAAAATAATAATCATTATTACTATAATTAATATTATTATTAATATAGTATATAATAATTATTTTTTTAATTTATAGTAATATTAATGATAAGGATACTTATATTTATGTACATAAAATTTCAGTATATTGAAAAATGGTAATGAAAAATAATTAATGATAATGAAAACTAATTATATTGATAAATGCCAGAATCACTTAAAATGATATATATGTATATGTATATATATATATGTATATACTACAATATAAGATGGCAAATCAAGACAATCTACAGTTTATAGAAGTTGAAATGCTGGCAATCTGCTTGTTATTATTCCTTTGTTTAGGCGAGACTTGTTTATACCTTGTTTAGTGAACCCGCCGTCCTCCAATAATGATGATTTCAAATAAAAATAGAATTTTATTTTTGGACAAACCCGCCGCCACGATAAAATTGAAATTTCAGAAAAAAATAAAAGTTTTTCTTTAATTTTAGGCCTGCTGCTGCCTTAAGATCTACAAAACACAATATGTATATTTCTTCCTAATTATATGAATTTAAACATCCCATTACTACACTGTTTACATTCACCAATAACATTTTATTTTTATTTTCTCCTCCATCTGGATGTTTTTGGCAAAACAATTTGCTAAATAAGTAAACAAAATTTAATTTTTGATGTTTTCTCCACCCTTTTCTGATGAATAAGTTCGCAAAACAAGATATAAAAAAGTCTCGTCTTAGGAAAAAAAAGGAAGTTAGAATGATTTACCAAAGATATGTCCATTATAAGAAATGATAATTAATATTGGTTCCAGCTATGGCTGTTACAGCCATACTACAGTTAGTACTGCCTTTTAAACGTTAGAGGGCGCTGTTGGGATTTGCCCAAAGATCATTTTAGTTTGCATTGATGCATCATTCATGGACCTATTAAAAGTCCATCATTGATCAAGTATTTACTTGGCGTTTTTCTGCTTTTTTTCAGGATATTGCTGAAGTTGTAGGACAATCGACTGCTATGCATATCTATGAATTCTTAAACAAATAGGATGAAGTCAGGAAATGAAAACAAGAATATATTTTATCTACCGTTTATAATAATGTTTTTGGCATTGTATAATGTGGATAGTTTGATGGAGTTTTTTGATGACATGAAGTAGTAAAAAAAATATTATTATTGTACTTCCATGTTACTAATGTATTACAGTTATATATTATATAGTCTTGTATAAAATAATGAAATTGTGTCATTGGCCTGTCTTTGTTCCTTCTCACCTCTGTTACCATGCACTGACAATTAATTTATGAACGATCATATCAATTTGGTTTTAGGGAATGGGGTGGGGATGATGATGATGGTGATAATGATGGTGATGGTGATCAAATAATAATTATTGATATTATTAATGTTGAATCAACGGCCCTACATAAATGTAGGAAGTCATTTGATAAATGCATCTAGATAATTCTCAAATTTAATACATAATAAGGAATAAAAATAAATACGAAGTTACGGAATTCAATAACATTATTAACATCAGAAATTCAAAATAATTGATAAAGTAAAAATTTTCTTCTGAATTTGATTCCGTAAAATTTGGTGAATTTAGTTGAAATCTCCTGGCAACTCTCATCGAATTTCGAAAAAGCCGTTTGGATGAGAGACTAACCTTAGAGATGGCATACAATCGCTTCGAAGGGCAGTCGAAACCACCACAAATAGAAAACTGTTTTCCTGGACCATCAGGTATTGTTTTGATATTTAATGGTGCATTATAAATATATAATATATTATTCTAATTTTTACGACTTTTTAACTTTGCATCGCTATCCAGGGAAGCCTAGAGTAGCCAAACTACAGTTGGTCCTAAGCTAGGCCTAGGCCTAGTAGTACTACTAGGCCCTACGTACTACTAGGCCTAGACGAAGTAGACCGATTGTCCGTGCGAGAGTTGTCGCGTAAGCTAGGGCCTAGCCCAGCCGCCGGTGGCAGGCCAAAACGGCAATAAACCAAAACAGCAATGATAAGTATAACTAAAACGGCAACATACCAAAACGGCAATGACAAGTAAGTACCAAAGGATTATTATTGTTGTTGTTATTTTTATTATTAATTTATTGTTATTGCTGTCGTCGTTGTCCTTTCGTTTTTTTAACTTCTATGACAATTTAGGCCTATTGCCATGAGTTGCCGTTTTGACTTATTGCCGTTTTGGTCCATTGACATTCTGGTTTAAAAGTGTTTAAAGTCGTTTTGGTTTTTTTGCCGTATTTTTCATTGCCGTTTTGACTAAAATATGGAATAAGCATAAGAATTCTAGTAGTACTGTAACTGTCAGCTATCTACACAGAAAGAAAGGTTAATATGAACAATAATATGTGCTGTTCCTGTATTGTTTTATTCAGGAGAAGATGTTGAATCTATGGACTTTCAAGAGGAGGAGCTTGCCAAGTCAGTGTATGTAAAATAATTAAAGCACATTATAATTATCATTTTGTGTGAATTTTTATACAGTATACACTTGTACCTCGCTGAAGATATCTGACATGCAAAGACTCAGTGTAGCACAGAGGCACATTATTTAAGAGTTTATGAATTCAATTGGCACTAACTAATTGATTTAAAACACATTGACAATAAGGTTATTTTATTAGTTAAACAAATGTCTTATGTTTATCAGCAGATCCAGTGTTTCGGACACAAAATTTGATATTACCATTGGGCATATAGAAGATATCATAATGGGTGAGTCAGCTGATTCCTTTTTTAGTGAAAGCAGTGTTTAATAAGTTATTGTTTTTGTTATTACATAATCCAAAATCTTTAATTTATTTTTATTTTTTATATAATCATTATTTTTAACAATTGAAATTTTAAAATTATAATTTTCTTTTTTATTATCATTATTCATGTTGTTACTCTTTTATCATAATTTTTATTAAAATAATGATATTGTTATTTTTATTGTAAAGATGATGCATTCCAACTACTTCAACGAGATTTCATGGAAAAACATTACAAAGAATTTGAAGACACAGAAGAAAATAAGCTAATCTACACTGAAATATTCAACAATTATGTAAGTTATATAATGAATATTTTTGTTGCAATTTGTGCTGCAGTAGTGCAGTGCTTATTTATAATTTACTTTTGACTTATGACCTGCATTCATAAATGCCTCTGGCCAGTACTGCCCGTAATTTATGGTTTAACTCTATTTTTTATTTTGCTCTTTGTAGGTTTCATTGCTAAACAAACATATCGAAGATGAATTAACATCAAGAATACCTGACTTTAGTATGGAGGATTTTTCACAACAATTACAGTAAGTAGCCTTATATTTTATTTAATTTTTTTAAGTACAGTACTTTAAAATGAAAGAGAACGATAATTAGAGTTGGCCTCAAAGAGAAATAAGCAATACTAATTCAACTGCTGGCATTCCTGTTACATTGAATTCCATTGTTTTTTAGCTGGTGTGTTAAATCATTATGTAATAAAGATTTTTAAATCTATAATTGCCAGTTTTTGGCTTTCATAATTTTTTCCAGTCGCACAATTCAGCATACTGTATGCTAGACTAGTTTTGTATGTCTTCTATGCAATAAATTTACCTAAATAATATATAAAGCATTTTTGATGTGTATGTTTCACTATTTAATCAATTCAATGTTATTCTTTGAGCAAGTTTTATTCTCTAAATTTCAACATGTTCTCTATCACAGTATAAATATGAGAGATATAGGTTACTAACAAATTAAAACTCAAAGAAAGGTCCCATTAATTATAATTATCTTTTTGGAAAGACTGCCTTTACTAAATGCAAAAAAAATCATTCACCTGAAAAGGGACATGTTTGTCTTTGCAGCATGTTTCTATTGTAATTTACTTTTTTTTTTATCTAATGAAGTACTTTGTCAATCTTGTATCTATAAATTTGCATCTATTTATTTCTTTATCTGATGTCTAGTTCTATTGTTGATTCAGCGTTCCTTTGTGTTATATTGATTTAATTTGCATTTATTTTATAAATGTACTGTAATTTGCATTAAATTTCATCTCAATCCAATGTATATAGTATGTGTGTATGTATATTGGACTCATTTTGGTTATTCAACTATAGTTATGTGGTATATACCGTATACTTTTATAACTCAGTCCAAAAACAATACATTTTGCATGGTTGTGTTGCTTTACAGAAAGAGGTCAAAAAAGAAACAACTTGATGGCGAGATTTTTGAAATGCTGTTAACATTCAGTGACTTCATATCGTTTAAAGAAATGTTTCTAGATTACAAAGCAGTGAGTTTTTGTTTTCTTTTCTTTCTTATAAAAATAGTAAATGGTAAAGATATACAGCCCTGGTTCTTAATAGGCGGCCCACGGGCCAAATTTTCCCCGCGAAGCAAATTATTCTGGCCTGCGAGAAAAAATTAAATTATAAAAAACTATATTTAAAGAAAGTAAAATAACTAACCATTCGATGAATATTTTTTCAATAAAGTGAAGGCCAAAACACAACACTGATTACACCTTGCAAGTTTCCAGAACCAACGTCATCCACAAAAACAACAGAGTGAACTTTTATATTCAGACTTGTTCATTCAATTAACAAAGGTATTGATGCTTTGTGTAATACCTGAACTCAATCACAAAGTAAAGCTACCTACCACCAGTTTGTTTTTTGATCACTTTTCAATTTTGATCTGAAGTCCAAAAACTATCAACTTATTGGTGGCAAATATTTCTGAATGGAAACTGGATGACACGTTTATTATTACTAGAGTTGTCTAAGCATTCTTTGTTTTAAATATTCTTGGAATAGAATGCTAGCATGTATTTCTCAGGAATGGGGGTTTACTTGTTTGCAATATCAATTATATGGTATACCATGGAGCTGTTATAGCTCCATGATTGTTCATCCTGTTTCTAGAGTGGTGCCAGAAATTCCCCGGCGAGCAATCCAAGGCCCCTGAAAAAAAGATCCTAATCCACCTCGGCTCCATCATGTTTGGAGTGAAATTTAAGAATAGGCACCTTATATGCCCGGAAATTGTACATTCAGAATGTGAAAATGCTTTTCTAGTGAGTGTTCTCCAACGAAATGATTGGAAAGTTCTTTGATGGGGGGGGGGGATGGTCCTGTTCCGCCCTGAAGCAACCACTGAAACAAGTGCATTGCCGTTTCTCTCTGAGTAAATAGTCTACTTGGTACTATCCATTTTTCACTTCCCCATGTTTGGGAATTTGTAGCATTGTTTTCAAAAAGATAGGATGGATGGTTACTACTACTTATTAAATGAAGATTAATTGACTGTAGGATTTTACACCGAGTTTGCTATCCAGCAGAGATTAATACTTGACCTGATCAATAAACAAAGGTCAGGTTGGCAAGTCTTCAACTGGATATTTCATTATAAAATGTCTACTAAATTGCAATTGATTGTTCAAATACTCGGTACTTCCACAGTTGAGCAATACAGTATAATAAATAATTAACATGTCTATCTTGTCAATTGTTAGAAAACCCACCATTATCATCATTATACTGTACCAAAAGAGCAAATGTAACAAAATAATAAATCTTTTACATCGGGTGTTATTGATAATTTAATAATTTGTATAATACTTCAAAGTTGGGTTTTATTAATTTAAAACCAGTCTGTGAAGTTGAGATTAATTGTACAGTAGTAGTATAAGACCGAGTACTTAATTCGCCAGATGGTTCGCAATTTTTTTGCAGAACGAGTGCCCAGCTTAAGGCTTGTGTAGTTACTTATTATTAGGGAGCTTTTGATTGCACGACGACATAATGCGCATGCGAGAATGTAGGATAGGACGGTCACGCACGAGTGAATCCGTTCTAGCGTCACGTAAATCGAAAGCTTCGTAATAACATTGAGTTAGCTGTGTATTTTATTTCATATGTACAGTATTTACATTATATGTAAATATGAAACAGTGGTTTAAGAATTATTGTAGTGTTGTCATTGAATTCTGTATATTTACCCAGATATATACCTTGAAGTAATTCCAACTTGTTATTAAATAAGTATAAAAATACATCCATACAAATAAGTCTTGTTATGTTTGCAAGTAAATGTCCATTTTTGTTGAAACCGCCTTTCTCCAACATTTTAAATGATAGCTGTTTAATCTAAAAAAAGGAAACTCATCTTCTGTCCTCTAAATTCCATACCCACCTATTTCAGTCATTGGTTTGGTTTAAAAATTATAATGCATGTGCCCTTTCAATAGGACAGTAAGCCTCTCGTGTTATGCACCTTTTGGGGATATTCTTTGAATAGTTTGTTTATACACATCCAAAAGGCTGGAACACCACATTAATAGTTGCATATTGTTTGTACAGTAGTACTGTACCCATTCTCTACAACAGAAGTAGTTCCACAAACATGCACAGAATAAAACTACCAAAGCTTTCCATCACTCTTTTTTATTGAAAAAAGTGTTATGAAGTAAACACAGTATCTTGGCAGCAGCAAATTACATGATGTTTGAAGGAGAAAAAAAAATTATAGTAAAGTATTACTAATTTTTCACAGTTGAGGGCCACACTGTCTTGGTTTATATACACAGTACCAGCTCATAATTTCATGTTCCATTGTTTGATTGTTCTTTGACAAAATAAATTATACAATTCTGGAAAGTTGTGTATATTGATTAAAGATGCATCTGTCCCCTGAAAACAAAAAATCAAAAAATAATTTTGAAATTAACTTCCTCATTTTGCAGTAACATACAGAGTTGCATACAAATTTACTTTAGCATAGAAATTATTGAATTAAAAAAAGATGTACCCCGACTTTATATACTGCACAATGATAATTAAAACAAAACACTTCCAGCTGGAAGTGTTTGTTATTTTTCGCAGTAAAATTGTAGGTAAACATTTTTTAAATACTCTAATATCCATGTTCAAATTGATCATTTTTATGTTATTCAAAATGAGCAAGTTAATTTCAAAATGATTTTTATGATTGTTTCGGTATTTTGCATGGGAAAACACATCTCTCAAGCATAATTTCAAACCCATATTCATTCTTCTATATCTATTTAAAAAGTAAACATCCAGTTCATCTTTGGTATGATTGGATGCGGCAGGTAGACGAACATATTTACATTTATACATCCTCACTGATCAATACAAATGCAACGTTTAAAGTCATTCCATAAAGTGAGATGCAGGGTACACAATTTGGGTCATGTGCACTTTAAAGAATATTTTTCGAGATGAGTAGGGGGTAACCCTGGTGTATTGGTCTGTATAACCCCTGTTGTGGACAGACAAAAGATAGCTGGTACCGGTTTCCCAGGCAGCTCAGACACAGACCCCTAGGGGAGAAGCAAGTTATTGTACAAGCTTGTCCACACTTTGAGCGCTTTGAAATTTCGGTATAAAGTTCTATATCCAACAGCATTAATTAATACATTACTTTACATATTACTGGTGAGATCATATTTATATGATCACCAGAATAATTCAGAGACAATATTTTCATGAAATTTTGTTTTTAATACTTTTATGCATATTTTTTAATAATAGTATAGCTTGCTTTTTTAAGTCAATTTTCCTACTACAAAAGTTTTCTGCATGCAGAATTTGTTCTTTCAATCTTATTATTTGTTAGTTTTACTAACACAATAAAGAGTAAGATTTTTCCCATACATCTAAATTTCAAATAATACACATGTATCTCTGAATCAAATTCCCGAGAAGTCATTCATTAATAGGATATACAGGTATTTTAATATACCCTAAACCAAATATGATTTCCCAATGAAATTACGCATTTTGCGCTCTGACTCGTGTGTTTCATATCTTGTAAGAGTGTATGCAATGAACCTATATTGCATATCCTGACAGTTTACACGTTCTTTGCATGCATCATCAGTTCATGAGCACTTCTAACTGAACAAGTCGTGCATTGATGTCACCCGGCATTCTGTATGGCAACATTCCAGCGAAGGTTATCAAAGCCTTGGCCTGTCGACGTAAATACTCCAAGTACTGAAATAGTAAGCATACACAAAATATTAAGTTCCACATATACATAACACAATATTGTAGCGAAGATAAAAGGAATGAGATGGAGGTGGACCTCTGCACTAAGCCCCGCCCCATGGGTATTGTTGCTATTCCTTACTCTGTTCTGATTGGTCACTTAAGTTTGATTGGCACTCTCTAGAAGTGTCCATTAAAGACAATAGATAGACCAAGAGTGACAACCTAGAGCTTGTACCTGGAAGAGGAAGACCAAAAAAACAAGATAGATGGAGAATAACCACACGGATGACTACTCACAGAATCTTTGCCTCCATCCATGCCTCTCTGTGGTGTCATGGAGCGAGGAGTATACGGCGGTTTACTGCGATTCATCTTGTACTTTGTGTATAATATATTCATAGTCGCAATGAGGACATCAGGCATGCTACGCCTGATTTCATCTTTATATTGTTTAAAGCCTGCTACTCTGTCATCTACACTCTCCGGCGTTAACGCAACTAGTTTCAATTTCTCAATTGTCTGTGACATTAAAAGAAGAAAACAATTACATCTATTTAATAGGTAGATTTACAAGACAGCACAATACAAAGGATGGATTTAGTTAAGGTTTCCCATTATATATATATATTTCCCAATATAAAGAAAGCAAATTAGAAAAAGGCCACATACGTCCAATGCTCTGTCAATATCTTTTGCATAGTAGATATCAAAGAAGGTAAACAGATCAAGGAGAAGATAGAAAGTATCTGTGGTTCCCCTCGTCCCTGATAAACACTGCTTCGTATACCTGTTAAGAAATATAAAATGGTGAAGGTGAAGGTAGGAGAATAACTCGCAGTGTCATTGTGCTGAATTGCTGTAGGCGCGTGGTCCACCATAAAGAGGTGCTTATAGTAGCTACATGTTCACATCATTCCACAAGGACAAAGGCTGAAATGAACCACAGCATCTTCCAAAAGATGCAATGGGTTCTTTAAAGTGCACACAAACCAGGTGTGTACACTGGACCTCCATTACAAGTCCTTATCCGAGGAGAATTATTTCAACCAACCAACCCTTGAGCAAGGAGTGGCTTGAACCAACGCCCATGTTAAGGCTATAGTTAGGGGCTCCCCTGCATTGCCACTTGTCCACTCCACTTCCCAATAGGGTTAAATATACCACATGTAGACAAATCAAAATGTACTGCCTGGCAAGAGAACAGTTCACACCACACGTGAGCTGAAGCCGTGTAGTTCACACTCAACCACTTACACACTTGTGTATGGCTGGTGTCACTGCGATGATAGTAACATTAACAAATTATAACTAAACATCACTAAATTAATAAATATACATACCTCTTAGCAATGCTTATGGCTAGATTATGTAACCGGTCCCTATTAGAGTGCGTTGTCGGTGGACTTGACACCAGTGGGCTCAATAATTTATTCATTAACTCCAACACTTTCTCAGAATTATCTGCCAAGTCATACAACTTAACTGCATCCTCAAACAACCCTTTGTTTTCGGTATCCTTAGCTACAGTTTCTATGATCCGTTGTGTATTGTCCTGGAATTTATCAATCGCTCCTGGCCGGCGTGTTCCATCTTCCTTTATTTGGCCAAGTAACATTTCAAACTCGCGGGTTTCGGTTACCAATTCACTAATACATTTGGTAAATAGGTTTTCTCCCTTGGAATCGGTCAGTTTCCTGTAAGAAATTCACAAAACATTTTGTAGGTATATATTATACATACCACTGGATTCAATGAGTCTATTCTATGAAGTCATACATTTTACGCTTGCCATTCCAAAAGCAGTGTACTGCTAAACTGAGTAATTACCATAAGAATGTATTTTATACTTCAGTACAAAGAAGCCATAATAATTTACTCATAAATTTGTCGATTACAGTAAATGACCCATCATTTTAAATCTTACAGTACATTAATACAGCATATTAAACAGTCAATTTTCAATTTTTTTTCAAGTCTCATTTAGTCTTTATTGATCAATGCCAGTCATGTTAATGTATTCCATAGAGATATAAGAATACTAGAGCGCTAACTGCAATGTATTCGATGTTCGAAATACGCAGAGCTGTGTGTGTGTACCATCCAAGATGGCTGCCATAGATTTAGCCAACAATCGAATTTCGCCTAAGATCCTTCGTACTTTATTTTTGAATAAGATGCTCCACTTGGCCTCGTTTTGGCTACGATAGTTTAATAATTTGTTATTACCATTACTCATTATCATTAATGAAATAATAGTCAGTCAGAGGGCTTATTTATGGTAATAATATGTATACTAAGCCTGAAGGTGACACTTTACTTCGACCGCCATCTTGGATGGTACACATACATAACTCTGCATTGCTTCGCCATCTTGTCAGCATCTAGTTCTTTAATAGCTCTATGATGTATTCTCATTTTGGTTAATTTTTGTCTCAAAATGTTTAATGTTTATAAACTTATTTTTTTTTATTGGCTTTTTGTCCTCAGCCCACTGGATAGACCACTGGACCGTCCAATGGGAGCCATGGTTGTCAAGCACATGACCTTATGGCCATACTACGTGCGCAAGGATGGTTTCATCATTGGACAAGAAATTTTAACAGACCGTCTAATTCATTAATTAACAAGGAAAATGTTTTCTTGTTCTGATTTTCAATTAAAAGCTAATACCTTACTAAAATTTACAACAAACAAGTCAAATATTTAATTATACTTAGCACAATATTATATACAGTACAAATTAAATCATGTCTATATTATATTACCGAATACTGAAGGTAGATTAATATTTGATCATGTCTATCTTACCGAAGCAAATAAAAATACTGGAGGGCTTCTCTGGGATCTGTAGTCTGGAACTTGGCTGCATATAAGCTCACTAGACGGGCATAATTCAGTCGTCTCATTGGTTCAGCATCATTTGATACTTTACTTACTTTAAAAAACAAAATAAACATGACTCCTCAGTTTGGCAGCATATTTTATAGAATTTGTTTATTTCCTTCACAACCCTCTTGTCCTCAGCCCATCAGATAGACCACTGGACCGTCCAATGGGAGCCATGGTTGTCAAGCACATGACCTTACGGCCATACTACGTGCGCAAGGATGTTATCATCATTGGACAAGAGAGTTAAATGATTGCATATACACAAGGGCATTTATATTGTAATAGTTTGCATATACACCAAGCTTTGTCAGATGAATGACGAAGATAAATATATTAATCACCTGCCATTCAAAAGATATTTTCTTCTGATTCAAACAACTTCACTTTACAAGGAATAAAGTCTTGCCTTATTAATAATAACAAGAAAATAGCTTGGTTATACATACACATCTGAGCACCAATACTTTGAGGAACATTGAGTAAGCCCATCTCAAACAGCACAATAGCTATATGCACAGCGTGAGAACTCAGGGCCTCGTTCCTCCATAAAAACTCCAGGGCTGGTTCAAACTGAGCTGACAGTAACAATACTTTGAAGTACAGAAGAGGGTTCTGTTGGGCATTGAAATGAACCTCTCCGTAGTCTTGGTACAGCTGTCTCTGGAGGTCAGAGAGCGATGTGTGATCAGCGGCTGCCCCTAAATCAGGGTCTAAACAAACTTGACTAAGTTTAAGCCAGAGATAGTCGTCCGTTTTATCTGCTACTTCGGAGTGGCTGTCTGAAGGGTCGCAGTTCCCAAGAACGCAAAAAACAATCCTAAAGCAAAAAAATAAATAAATTTACCCAATTATAAGGCTTCGTACTTTTAGACAAGTTCAAGAGAGTGCTAAGATTTTTCAAGCAAATGCAGAGTAGATACTCTTCTGCTTGTAGAAGGTTTTAATTAAAAAAAAAAAAAAGGAAGTCAATCAATCACTCTTATATTTCACTTTTTTTTACATGAATCGAATTTAAAGTTAGCAATAAAGGGGGTACCGTGACATGCAAAGATTTTACAGGGGCTCTGTTGAAATAGCTGGCACTGGAGCTGTGCACTTATAGTACACATTTTAAAAATGTTTGCAAAGTAGAAGCCAAACCTTTCTAATTCAGGAAACTTTGGTGAATAAACTGCACAATATCCTGAGAAAACCTTAAGCAACACCATAAAATATAGTTTAACAAAACAACAAAGACACAACAAATGAAAAACACATACAACATAAACCAAGGAGTTTAGAAAGTAGAACTGCTTAGTAAACAAGCAAGTCGTGTGAGCTGTGCGAGACTGCAGCTGTGTAGCCCTTGCTTAGGGTGTTGCACCCAAACCACACCTACTCAAAGAGAAAGAGCCTCACACCTCCAATCACAAGCACTATTTATTCTGTTCTGTCTACCTTTGTATCTGTGCACTACACAGTACTAACAACTACTTTACATAGAATTATCACAGGTTGTTCAATTCAAGCTACTTCATTACCATACACATGTGGATATTACATATGTATAATCATTGCATAATCACTGCATATTCATTACCTTAAAAATCAAACTCCATTGCAATATCTATTTGGATATTCATTACCTTAAAAATCAAACTCCATTGCAATATCTAGTTGCATATTCATTACCTTGAAAATCAAACTCCATTGCAATATCTAGTTGCATACTCATTACCTTGAAAATCAAACTCCATTGCAATATCTAGTTGCATATTCATTACCTTGAAAATCAAACTCCATTGCAATAATCTAGTTGCATATTCATTACTTTGAAAATCAAACTCCATTGCAATATCTAGGACATTAACAGTCACATACAAACATATACATGTTTATACATATATTTTGAAAAACAAAAGTATTAAAAATTTTAATATAAATAACTAGCCAAGCAATAATAAATTGTGTCACAAAACCTACCTTTTATATGGGTCACTGCTGTGTCGTGCTTCCCTTCTGTATTGTAACTTGATCTTGGTCTCACTGGCTGGTGACAACCTGATCAATGTAAGTGACACAATCATCAGTATTAGAAACATACAATCTATTTCTTAAATAACTTTTGGCACAAAAGAAAAAAATAAACTTATTACTTATGTTATGTACACATGAAATATATGTAAAGAGTAATATATATCCGACAAAATGATTTATAATACTACAATTGGTATAAAATCTATTAAGATGAACACCTGATGAAATATACCAATATGTCCTTAAACTTAATTATTGATTTTCTCCAAATGTTAACATGTGAATTTGTTCAGGCTTCATGGGAACAAATTTTTATTTTTATATACCACTTTTGAATTGGATAAATTTTCTTTTAAATTGTGAATTTTTTAATATGCACCTACAAAAGTTGTAGAAATAATATTTTTTCATTTTTCAAATTAAATGGTAAGAAATTATATATAATATATATATATAGTATATTCTTCAGGCTCAGTAGCTTAGCATAAACAGTATAATAATAATGTTATGTTGCCCCTATGCTCTTAAATACAGTTAAGCCTTTTACCTGTTTTGATCACTATGCATATACTCCTGCAAAAAGTCTCTGACTTCTCCAACATCTTTTCTGAAAAATAAGTTGAAAAGTTAAAACAAATAATTTAGTGGTGGTAGATCAGTGACCTGAGTGGCTGATAATGATGATGCTTTGAAATTTATCAACTTACGAGGCCTTATTGAATGCTTGCAAGGCTGCCTCCAAGTCACCACACCGCATACAGTAATACACCATGGGCCATAATGGAAGACCATCAACCTCAGCCTCCTAGGTTAAGAAAAGAACAAATCAATCAATCACAGTGACTTTTTTTTTCGGGGTGCCGAAAGCGGCAATCAAGGAGCTAAGGTTCAACAGGGGCAAAACACTTGGTCAATAGAGCTGAGGATAGTTTTAAGGTGTTTTCTTACCTATTGTGGCTTCCAAGTTATAAATGATTAAAAAAAAATATATATAAATGATTTAAAAAAAAAAATAGAACACATTTATTAAAAAATAAATTCTAAAAGGTTAATTGAGCAAAATTTGTGTTGAATTTAACTTTTTAACAAGCATACGAATGTCAATGATTCTCCAGTTGGTTTGTATTAAAAACAAAGAAATATTACCTATATAAATACATTAAAAATGTAAAAGATAAATATAAAAATATCACTATAAAGCTCTTCAAACATCATCTCAATTGTACCTCTTACATTGTACCTGCTTATTTCAAATAAATCGCTTTGTTAATTTTGTACAGTAATCAATAATAGAAATAAATGTTTTATTATTTTTTTCACATTTAATAAAAAGTACATTTGCCAAGAAAAATTAGTCATGTACACTAAGTAAAAACGTAATTAATTTAAATGCAGCATTAAACAGACGTAAAAATTGGGACAGTGTAAGACACAACTTGCCTCTAGGCCAGGCATTCCCAGCGGCAGTAGTTTGCAGTAATACACCATGGGCCATAATGGAAGACCATCAACCTCAGCCTCCTAGGTTAAGGAAAGAACAGATCAATCAATCACAGTGACTTTTTTTTCCGGGGTGCCGCAAGTGGCAATCAAGGAGCTAAGGTTCAACGGGGACAAAACACTTGGTCAATAGAGCTGAGGATAGTTTTTAAGGTGTTTTCTTACCTATTGTGGCTTCCAAGTTATAAATGATTAAAAAAAAATATATATAAATGATTTAAAAAAAAAAATAGAACACATTTATTAAAAAATAAATTCTAAAAGGTTAATTGAGCAAAATTTGTGTTGAATTTAACTTTTTAACAAGCATACGAATGTCAATGATTCTCCAGTTGGTTTGTATTAAAAACAAAGAAATATTACCTATATAAATACATTAAAAATGTAAAAGATAAATATAAAAATATCACTATAAAGCTCTTCAAACATCATCTCAATTGTACCTCTTACATTGTACCTGCTTATTTCAAATAAATCGCTTTGTTAATTTTGTACAGTAATCAATAATAGAAATAAATGTTTTATTATTTTTTTCACATTTAATAAAAAGTACATTTGCCAAGAAAAATTAGTCATGTACACTAAGTAAAAACGTAATTAATTTAAATGCAGCATTAAACAGACGTAAAAATTGGGACAGTGTAAGACACAACTTGCCTCTAGGCCAGGCATTCCCAGCGGCAGTAGTTTGATGCGTAGAAAAGCTTGCACCAATGGGTAGATCCCTGGTATTCCTCCAAGCCTGGCTTGGTGCTGGGCCTCTGAAATGTAGCCTAGAATGTACTGACAGTAGGTCTTCTCAAGGTATCTCAGTGCTTGGTTCACAAAGGCAGTCTGGACTTTTTGTGAGCTACGATTTTCGGCTACAGTTGAGGTTGACACTAATGGTACAGATGTCATATGATGCACCATATCCCAAATATCCAGGATAAACTATAGAAACAATATAGAGAAAATATGAAGTACTGTATATTAATTGGAAATTATTTTGAATCATTATTGGATTTAAGCAATGGTTTCAGTTATAAGCGTAAAATAATTTCCAAAAATATCTATAATTTCTCATGGGCTGCTGAAAAGGGAGCCAAAATATGTTATAGAGGAACCCATGAGATCAATAGATTGGTGTGGATATGCACCAGGGATTGCCGTTCACCTTTTAAGGGGGAGGGGGGTTATGAACATTACTAACTATCACAGTATAATATTAAGGTTACCTTATCATCAAGCTGCTTGGCAACTTTAGTACACAGATCGAGGATGTCTGGTGGTAGGCCACCTTGCACAACACACTCATTGAACAAATACATCTGAAAAGTAACAATAAAAATAATAAGTCAGGATTGGATGGAGAAGTCATGAACTTTGGTGGTCTGGATGCTTGCCCTCCAAACCAAACATCAAGGGTAAACATCATACAAAATGCCTGAATAATAATCTATTATATTTTTTTTAATACCTTACTATATTAAGTCAATGATGATGTCCTCATTTTAACTTCAAAATTCAATCCCAGTGGAGGCAATAATATTAACTATTTCCCATCATGCTAAATTATTGCACGTCATGCTGCATTATTGCCCGTAGCTATGCTGCATTAATTCCTGCACATCCACTTCACTTTCTTTTGACATTGCCACATTTACAACTAGCAGCATTTGTGAAGTGATGCATCTCTAGGCATGACAAGAATACAAGAGAAAGAAAAATAGGAGTAAAGGGTTCTACGAACCTGTCTACTATACCCCATCTGCACATGATCCATGCCACTTCGACTTGACATTATCACCGAGTCCCCGACAGCTGAATCACGTTCGGGAGCGTAATCAAGAAGGTCTTGACCCGATCCAATCAGAGCGTTTAAAAGTCGTTGCTTTTCTGACTCCCATTCACTATGCATGCTGTCCCAGAAGTGCTTCTCTGCTTGGCGGAATGTCTACAAACACATCATTCTTAACACATTAACAAACTAATATTGTAATAGTAATGTACAGAGTTTTGATAATGCATTCATAATTCACAATATACAGTAATTTTTCTCACAAAACAGAGTCTGGTAGGCAACAAAGGGACCAGGTTCCTGTACTTAACGCCTAAGAGAGTAAGCAAAAACTAAATTATTTTACAATGAAATTGAAATAATCCAACTGTATTCTACGATATTGGACAAAATTGCTTTCGTTAAACACGTTACAAGTTAAAAAAACAAACCACAAACTTTTTCTTGACGCATGCGCACCTCAGTACTCAGCAAGGACTTAAAATGGGTGTACATGGTTTATCCCATGGGCACAGCGCTTCAACTTCTATCAAAAAAGACACAAATAAACACCACATGCTGCTTGCCATAACTTGTCCAGCAGTAAAATGGAGAGATAAGTCATACTCTCCAACTAGCATGGTTTTCAAGCATTTGTTTTTCCAGAAATCTGTCAGAATCATCCACGACTAATCGCAATATTCCTGCAGGCGCCAACGCGGTGCAGTCTTAAATTTTATACACATTATTTAAATGTATTAGACGATAACACGATATCATTGATTAAATGATCTACCACCCTTGCATCGCAATATACTGTACTAAACTAGGCCTAGCCTAGGCCTCATTTTTTCGTGGAAAGCCTAAGCTAGATAGTTGTTATGTACTCGACAGTCGGCTGCCTTTATATCTTCACATTTGATTTCTGAAATTGTAGCATTCGAATTTGTGTTTAGGATGAGTATTATGATGGCATTATGGGTGGGCGAGGGGGGAATACTTTCCGGTCATCTTCCTCACCCACTGGCATGTGGCATACCTAGGAGTCTTAAAATGGAGGGGGACGTGCTGATGGTGATCGTGAATGTGAAATGGAGGGGCTCAATGATTAGGTGAGGGGAATTAAATCGCAAAATAAGGATATTTGAGGTGATTTTTAACAAGTTGCGGGTGTATCGTTGATTGTAAGGTCTATATTGGCCTAGATTAATAAAGGTTACGGTAGGAAATCGCTGGATTTAAATTTATGGGAAATATGATGGTATTTATTGTAAATTTCCTGATTAGTGAAATATAATTATGCAAATAAACAATTAGCTTATTCACACATGCCTCAAAAACATCCATCTTCTTATTACCAACTTACATTCTGCCAAGTTTGAAATCAATGACTTACCAAACTTTAGTTATGGTGGTAACGAATGTTTTACCCAACAACGACAAGAAATAATAGCCTCCCTGGAGATTCACTCCTTCAGGGAGCTTAATTAATCCAGAAAAAAGAATATATAAACTGGATACCTTATATTGGTATTAAGAAAGAAGAGAAATCAGATAACATATAATATTGCATAGCTTTATGAAAGTCTCGAAGGATGTGTTCAGAAGGATGGAATTAATGTAAGAGAAATGATTGGAATCCTGTAAAACATATCAGACAGTGTACAGCTTAACTTACATTCTTTTTAGTTTCCTCAATAACAGCTAAAAGAGCATTTTCTCTCTCATTTCTCAGAAAACTCTGAAAATATAAAGAATTATAAAACAAAACACCTAAAGCTGAGCACTCACTGCCCCTAATGTAACACGATGACGCACGCGCATTAGATCGTTTTATAATGAGATCTGTTCAGACTGCCACTGACAATTTAGCAGACGGTGTCACGTCGTCTGCTGATTGTCCAAGCAAAGTTGGATCCGTCGTCTGCTGATTGTCCCAGCAAAGTTGGATCCGTTGTGCAATGCAGTGAGTGGCCGACTTTAGATCATCAATGCAAGAACCAATAAATGAATTTTGACGGTGGTCTAATTATACCGAGCAGAACACTTCCTTTGGTACATTCATTATTAATGCTTCCTTGCCTGCAAAGTGAGTGAAAACATATTACGGTCAACCCGTATTCAGAAATCCCTATAAGGAAACCCAATTTTTGTTCTGGAAGGTGTCCCATTGACAGGAGTCCTACTGTAAACACTGTATAATCAGTATTGGAGCAGTGCAGTGCTAGTGTTAAAATACCTCCCAATCTCAGGATCCTGGGTTCGAATCCAGAAAACACAATTTTTTTTAAAAACATCGGGTTTGTAATACCGACAATTCTTGCTGTTTATTGTTCATTATCATCATTAAAAAAGTTAAAATTAATTTTTGGTGTAATTCAGTGATTTACAATAATCAAAATCTCATTTCTTGAAACTGATTCAACATTTAGATAGTACTACGCACTCTCCAATACTTACGGTACTTAATAAATGCTGCGAAAATTATTTGCGGCATGAAACTTTCGCGAATCTGGACCATTCACGAATTTCGCAAAAGTTTAATGCGCAAAAAATTTTCTTGTTTTACAGTATTTAGATAGGAATGAAATATATTATAACTTTAAAATTATATGTTGCTGAAGCATACAACATTGTATGTTTACCTGTATATCGGTATCAGCAATTGGCTCCAGTGGTTCAAGGGTCCTTGTAGCACTGAGTGTTTCAAGGCGCTGTGAGATCTTAGGCACATCAAGACCTTTAGATCCAAGCAGGATCGACCTACAAGCAATGTTCATTTCTAAATTAATTTTAAATCTGTTTATTTATATTTATTTATTTATTTCAAATACATTGTAATAATGGTACAGTACTATTTTACATCAACATCAATAAGTATGTTAAGCTTTTTAAAAATTTATCCTGAACCCAAAAATAATTTTTGAGTACCTGTAATGTTGTCTTGGCAATTTGCCAACATTTTCAGACTGATACTGGACTGCACCACCAAAATTTTCTGAAGTATCTTGAGGCCTTCCTACTTTAGAATTTAGCATTCACACCAGTAGGGCTTCAGGAGACATTCCACAAGTCAAAACAAAAAGAGATGACTGGTAGCGAAGTCCAATATCAGTGTGGGATAACTAAAAACACATCTATGTGTAAACCTGTCAACTTTCACGCATTGTAGAGTAGAGTCTCAAGCATCATAACAATTTCATAAAAGGTAAAATGTATTTGGCCGAATATACCCAAAAAATCATAAAAATGTGAATGATGTGAATTTGTCATTAAAATATGAAAACAGGCCTTATAAATTTCTTTTAATGAAGCTATACAGACTGACACCTGTAGCAGTTCCACCACTACAATTTTAAAAAATGACATATAGGGCACTATATTTCATGATTTTTTACACAGAGGGCGCTATATAAAATTTTTGTTTGTCTCTTGTATCAGACGTCAATAAAGCTGACAGGTATATCATCATAAATTTATTGGTGTAAGTAGGAGAAAAACCCATAACGTGCAGCGTCATTGTTCTGAATTGCGTATGGGCGTGGTCCATGACTACTTAGCAACCGTAAAGAGGTGCTTCATGGTAGATACATGTTGACATTCCACAACAGCAGGGGCTGAAATAAACCATAACATCGGGGTAACCCCATCTCTTCCGAAAAAAGCAATGGGGTTTTTAAAGTGCACACAAACCAAATGTATAAACTGGACCTCCATTTTAAGTCCTTATCTGATAAGACTTGGTTCTACCGGTGATAAGATTGGTTCTACTGGTGAGTCGAATGGTCGAGCAGTTAGCAGGGGCGCCGCAAGCTACAGCCATAATATCGGCGCTGGTTCGAACGGCCTATGGTTCTGGTGATAGAACAAGTCTTCTCGGATAAGGACTATAAACCGTAGGCCCAGTGTATACAATGGCTCGTGTGCACTATAAAGAACCCAGTACATCCTTCGAGATGAGTAGGGGGACACCCCAGTGTACTGGAATAGACAGCCCCTGTGGTGGACGACGAGAGTTGCTGGTACAGGTTACCGGGTAACACAGACACGAAGTGACCCTTAGGGGCAAAAAAAGTCATTGATCGAGTTCTTAGTCCACATATCAAGCGCCCTGAGCATCTTACATTAAATGGATATGTGCGCTATATAAAACAACACTATTATTATTACCAACCGAACCATGGGCGAGGAGCGACTGGAACCAGCGCCGATGTTAAGGTTGTAGCTAGCAGCGCCTGTGCCTTACCGCTCGGCAACTCGATTCGTGAACTGCTACTGATTAATAATATCAACACAGCTTACGCTTTCACATTGGCAGTGTCTGGCTGCCCAGTTTGTGCTGTTCTCGACCATAGCCTTTGACCAGCTTCAACAATTTGATGGATGTTACGTTCGACTCTTGGTAGATCACTGCCGCTGTCTACGTCAGCTGTCAACTGCTCTGCCTGTTGCAAAAGGTCTTCAAACCCTTCCATCTCCATCAGTTTTACACTAAATTATCTTTCAAAAATAAGATATATGAAGAATTACAGTCACTTTATTTATTTACAAAAAACTCATCAGCTAAAATAAATATATCATTATCAATTGTTATCAAGATCGTAATAAAGCTAATAATTACATCAACAAACAAAATAAAAATTAGGTACATCTTAAACAGCAGTGTGGTTATTTATTTAACACTACATAGTTAACACTGTGTTTGGTAAATGCTTTTAAATACAGTACCATTCCGGAGTTTTTCATCAAACACCGTTATTTTTGTGTCTAAGAAATATCAGTTGTCAAAACATACTGACTGTATCAACATTTTGTCTCCTCCGGAATCTGGCTTTGCTACTAACATACTAGGAATACTTACATATTCCCCACAAAGTTTAGTTTTGCATTATCGCAGTGGCGTATCTAGCAGGGGTGTGCAGGGTGGGGCACGCTCCCCCAAAAATTACTCGTTCCCCCGTCTTCCCCCCCAAAAAATCACAGTCAAGTAGTAAAAAATCAGCTTATTTTGCGAATTAGTGCCCCTCAACTGATCACTGAGCCCCCCCCCCCATCAGCACCCCCATTTCAAGACTTCTAGATAAGCCAGTGCATCATCGACTGGAATGCACTTCCAGAAAGTATATACCTAGTCAGCAACATCAGTATTCTTGAAAAATACAAGGTTAAGAGCTTTAATTAGGGATTTAGGCTAGTAAGCTCATCAACATGCAGCAAACAAGTTAACATGATGCATAGAAAGATATATTTCTGCCTAAATCGATGAAGATGAGATACAATAAGGAATTGGTAGGCAGAAACGTAACCACTGTGAAATATTACGCGGTAGTTAGTAGTTGTAGGCTTTCCCTAGCTAGGCCCAGGCAACTACAGCACCGTGATCCACCGATCATCCTCCCGGCCAAGGAGGATGTGCAAGGAAGACTTAGGCCCTAGGCCTAGGCTAGGCCCTATCCACTCGGGATTCATCCACTCTACCTAGCCCTAGGCTAGGCTTAAAAAGCAAATCCATAATATTAATTAGCCTAAAGCCCAGGCCTAGTTGTACCACACTATAAAGCTAATATTCTATTTATAAAAATACACTTATTGAAAATTATGTAGAAATAAGATAGCCTTCACACCTAGACAATACCTGTTTTTTCAGAATCCCCTTTCCTTTTTACCGCCACACGAGTATAATTCTCGTCGTTTAGAACTTTGTGTCGGTGTGACATTAACTTATGGAACGCCGTTAACGCAAAACAAATGAAATACAAAAATATCTCGAAAATTGTCCACAGCCGTACCTACGAAACAACACCCCCCCCCCCCCCACCAAAACCCCCCCCCCCCCCCCCCCCACCTCCTACAAAAATCTCTAGAAATTTATAGAGTTATTACAAGTTATAATCTATGGGTTATGCATGGACTTATTAATAAAATAGGTTCCCATTTAATTGTTTATACCTCCATGATTGAATAAACTGAGAGAAAAATAATTATTTTTGAAGATCTTATGATGTTATGACAATTTATAATTGTTGTCTGCCGCCCTCTATATTGTGTTTAAGATCTTTGGTATTGGGAGATCGTTCACACGGCGGGCGTAAACGAAGCTAAACATTGCGGAAATATTACGTGTTATGGTTTCACTTTGTCAATTTCCTCGATCGTAGAGCTTCATTCATTCACTCGAAAGGTTCCAGTGGTTCAACTCAAACGTAACTAGCATACTACTACTAGGCACAGCCAACTTAAGTAGTAATTAATAGGCCTGAGGGGTTTAGACTTAGGCCTAGGCCTACCAACCTAGCCTAATATCAATAAGCTAGGGCCTACCTACTAGACCTAGGCCACTTACATCTCCCTGGCCTTTGCCTATCTATGCTATGTATGCCCTAGCCTACTACTACTACTAGGCCTAGGCCTTGTACTACTAATACTTAAGCCTGTTTTCCACTAGGCGAATTTAAATGTTCTGAAGGGCCTATATTTTTATCAATTATTGTTTTTTCTTATGTATAATTTCTCCATCTATGTATTTTGTGTTGATGATGTGGAAGTAAACTTTATATTGAATTGAATTGAATTTGCGTGAATTGAAGGCATTGGTTCGGTTCCTGAACACTGATTGGTTGCGCACATTTTTTCGCTTCGCAAAAAGTAGAAACATCTAATTACCAATTTCGCTGAAGCAAAAACTCCGATAGAAATGCGCATAACCGACGCTTTCGATTCCCGCGAATAAATTCACCTGGTGGAAAACCAGCTGAATATTAGTACGCCGGGAACCAGTCATTTCGAGCGAATGCCAGTTCGAGCAGAATTTACTTCGAGCGGATGCTAGTTCGAACGGAAAAAGATCTACTTACTGTACTCGCGCGAATAAGCGCCCTGTTTGAATAGTACGAAAAGTTTCCTAAGTGCCATGTTACTTGTAATTTCTTCTGTTTTTCTTCCTACGTATTATAAATTTTTATTATATATTATATCTTCTATTTTTAATTGCTGTTTCTCTAAGGATGGATTAATTAGCTTGTGAGCTACAGCGATTTTAATTGCTTTTGTTAATCCTTGCCTCCTTTGATTTTCAATTTTATTCTGTATTTTGAATTTTTATTTTACTGTATGTGCAAATTGTAATGTGATTTTTATAAAAGGCTAAATAAAGAATGAATGGACGTATGAATAAGTGCCCCCTCGATGTTTATTCATTTTTTGAAACAATATCATGCAATTTTTTTCTTAGCAAGCCAATAATCCTAATCAATCCCGGCACTCTGGTTGGCATGATATGATCTGTGGAGTGGATTCACATATTCTTCTTATGTCAACTTCAAAACGAGAATATTTCTCCTGGACAGATGAGAATGTCTTTCCTCTTTTTACATTTTTCTAGTCCTTTTTCTTTCTTTTTTTTCCGACAATTTGCAACTTTTATAGCACATTTTAATTTTGCAAGAATCCCTGCAATGATCCAGCTAATTATCTCAATCAACAGATGGTTAACAAGCATACACCACCACCACCACCACTAATTTCATCTGCTGTTGAAGCTGGAATTCTTCTCAGGAGACATGTTCTCTTCTGCACCAGAACCAGTTGTAATCTTCGGTTTCTAGATGTTCTTATACAATCTTGTTTCATTCAAAAACTTCCCCTTGAATTTTCAAAGGTCCCATAAGGACCCCCAATATTCATATATTTCCATAAGCGCCCTCTCAATTTCCACTCTGTTTTCATAAGTGCAAAACAAGCGAAAATACTATTTCACTCACAAATATAAGAATAGGGTGACGAATTACAGTAATTCGCCCTTGTTATAATTCGCAGTAAATGCATCCGCTCGAACTGGCATTAGCTCGAATTGACTGGCATTCAAAACTAAATAGTTTAGGCCTTGCCTTTTTTCTACAGCAGTAGAACGTTTAATCTCTAATTCATGTATATTCTCTAGCTCACTATCAAGAAGGGCAAAGGAAAGGGCCACCTGTCCTGCCTTCTTGGATGATGAAGTAGGCCTAACCTAGCTTATTCTATGTTGGTAAAATTTATATGTTATGGGTGGTTAATACTAATATTTAATAGGCTAGACATATGTGAAACAACTGTACATTGTGCGTTACATTCTCTTCTAAAATCCAGGAACAGTATGTTCAGGCCGGAATGATGATTGTACTGTAATAAACATGGGTGTGTCGGTCTTGCATGACATCTCTGTGTATGCGCCATAAAAGATATGAATTGATTTACCATAGAACGCAACCGATGGCCGTCAAAGATGCATGAATTTGTTCTACATTCTCGTTCTACATTCTCAATTAAAAGCTCTCTATTTATCCGTCTTTTAAACAGAGTGTACAATTTCCTACAATTTTTTAATAAAAGTTTGAATATAATATATAAGCCTTTTACCAGAACAGCTGATTATAGTGTATTGTTCAAACAAACATAGTGTAACGCCATGCATTAAACAGTCTTTTTATCGGCAATTTTCAGTATAGTTCTTAAATGTCGCCAATGCAGAAAAAAACAAACAACTTTATAATGTGGAGATGTACACTTATCTTTTGATTCCACAGAGTTGACTTCAATAATGGGAAACATAAAAGATGAATTGAAGGTGCAGTTTCAACAGATCTGTGACCAGGCTGTAGATGCCGGCATAACCGCAAATGATCTATCATGTTTCCAGATCGTACAGAGGATAAACAAGATAAAAAAACCTACCAAGAAATCTAAACTACTGCCTGCTGTCAAGGTGGTCTTTATTTCTCTTTTGATGGTACTGACGGCTCTTGCTACTTTTGAAGTAGCGATCGTCTGGTCAAAACCAACAGGATACCCCTTAGTGGAAAGCTACCACGAGAAATTGACAACGTGGATGTTCGAGAACTTCTGGGATGTCAAAACAGATAAAGAACCATGCATCATTGAGATGTCAGAGTTCATGCAGGATTTGTTCCGTCCACCAGTTGATTGCAGCATATGTCGTAACGTTACACAAATAGATCGCATGTCCAATTTAACCCCCGAAGTATTCACTAGAATCTATGCTTACAGTTCAAGGCCTGTTGTGATATCAGATGGAATGCGCGGCTGGACTGCCCGTGAACATTTTAGTTTTGAGTTCTTTAAAAGTGTGTATTCTGAAGACAGCCCAGCCCTTGAAAATTTTGAGAACGAATGCCAGTTCTTTCCATACAAAACTAACTTTTCCTGCTTGGGAGAAGTTTTCAATATGTCTGAAGAAAGGGCCAAGGAACCTTGGTATATTGGATGGTAAGTCTAATTATGAATGTGTCTACATCTTATCAGAGTTGGATCCAGAGATGTCCAAAAAGGGGGGCCTGAAAGTTGGCCAATCAAGACAACGTTGTCCTAGGGGGTCCGGGGGAAAAATTTTTGTGTTCTAGACGCCCAAAAATAACATTTGAGGTGTTCTGGGCTATCATTTTTTTCTTTTTGTTTCTTTTTTCTTTTTTTTTTCTTTTTTTTAACTCCCAAGAGAGAGACCCCCCTAAATCCGCCCCTGCTTATGAACTGAATTCCAGTATATACTGTATTTCAAAACAGAATCAAAGATAATCATGAAAAATCATGATTAATAAATGTTTAAAATAATGTTTACACCTACTGTATACAGTATACAGCATATTGCCTCTTTGTTTTTCAATCCCAAATTAAAAAATCGAGGGGTGTAAAAATGGGGTCAGCTTCGTAACTTATGATCTCATTCACGTTAAGGCCAAGTCAGTGTTGTCAGTCTGACGTGATTTGTTATTACCTCGTGTTTGTGTGCATTAAATACTGACGCATTATTTTTGCATCGGGGATAGTCGTGTCATAGAATATTAAACATGTTTAATATTCTCACGTAGGACTACGGTATGTGTTTAGCCTTTAGGTTACTGTAGCTTCTATTCTATAGGTCTCGCTACCTAGCATTGTAGTGAACTTTACAAATATTTGACTGAATAATCAGTCAATAAATCAATAAACCTAATTAAGTAAAGTGATAATGGAAGAGTAATTACAGTACCGTATATAGGCCTACTGTAATTATTTTTTTTGTGTTTACTCCCATATATAAGACACCAAACAAACGTACAGTTCATCTTCGTAAAGTCAAATGAAAATGTGAAATTATGTTCACTCCCATTTGTGTGCATTTAAACAATTTAAGAGAAATCTTAGAATTCCTTTTGAAGACAAATATATATAATATATTTTTTCTTCTATGTTTTTTTGTTCAAAGGAGTAACTGTGATTCTCAGGCAGCAAATATTCTGAGAGAGCATTACAAGCGGCCGTACTTCTTGCCCCATGATTCCGAATCCAGTAAAACGGATTGGATATTTATGGGTACTCCAGATTACGGTGCTCATTTACATGTAAGATAACAAATCTTTCTTTGATTTTATTTTGCCTCGGAAACATCAATTTTATTTTTCAGATTATTCTAATGGTTTAAAATTTATGCTTTTGGTATTAATTAAAATTAAATGGTTTTAAGATATTCATCAAAATCAAATTCTTAAAACTTATTAATTGCAGTATCATTCTATGAGAGCATAGCTCAACAGAGAGCAGTTTAGCTCAGTCGGCTAAACTGGTGGTAGCAACTGTAAAAATCCTTTGGTACCCGGTTCAATTATTTTTTTTTATTAATAACTCTTTTTTTCAATTTTTTATCAGATTGACTCTGTTGAGAATCCTTCTTGGCAGGCTCAGGTTAAAGGTCACAAGCTGTGGACACTTGAGCCTCCCCCGGAGTGTTACTTTGAGTGCCCCAGGCAGTTAGAAATCACTGTTCATCCAGGAGAAATTAGTAAGTTTGATTATGTTGTACTATGATAATTTGATGTTAGATTTGACCTCTAACCGGTGTACAGTACATTCAAATGCTACTTCTATATGCTATTTGTGAATGCATTGTTTCCTGTTTCTATGGGTGTTAAGCCAACACAGGCAAACCATAATGTAATACAGTATTAAGTCATACTTCCTCCTCTTTGTCATGTTTTGGTAGCATGTTACATATAAATATTATATTGCTATTGTTATCAAATGAACATACTATACAGTATGAAGTATACTTAGAAACTGTATGGTAAATGGTAATGTTTGTCGATTAGTAGTAAAAAAGTAAATACATAAAATAAGTAAATTAAAAAAAACTAAAAGTATTTATTTTCAGTTTGTTGCTTCCTGTTTCATACACAAGAAGTAGTAACATGCGTAGATGTTGTGTATGTAGTGTTTTTTTATTAGAAGTCTTGATATAAACAAAAAGAAACAACACTAATTACTTAAAGATAACGCAAATTTTCATGTTGACAGACCCAGGGGTCCCAGGTTGGAAAAAATCTGGTTAAATGAACTTTCTTAACCCATTTGAATTTTATTTTGCTGCGCATGATGATACCAATTGGCACCGACTTACATGAGACCATTGATAATAGGAAGTAGTTAAAACATACAAATATTGTGAATTTGCGTGGGATGAGTTATTTTCCAGGAGATTCTAGCTTGCTTGAGGAAGTGTGGGAGGCCGTCCCGATTTCTGGGAGACTTCCGCGACTTCAGGGAGAATTGGGACACCTGCATACCTCACAGACAACTACTATCAATAGCAGCACATTCAAATATTACAAATATAGACAAGATATAAATCATACAAAAATTTAAAACTTTTCAATTAAAACAAGGAATTAATAAGAAAAGTCACACATCCAAACTTTTGCGCACTGGTTGCAAATCATATTGCACTAGATGGACAGGAGTTTTCAGCATTGAAGTTTGTCCATTAATGGAAGAAGAAGATGATCAGTGTATATTCCGAACAATTTTAAAATATATATATTTTTTTTTATGATTTTGTAAAATTAATTATATAGAATATATTATATTAAGTCAGTATTTGGATGTAATAGTTTCCCCTGTTTTGAGTAATGTTTTACCTGTTTTGAATCGATTTAAAATTGAAATGTGTTTCAACCCCTTTCATATAACTGCCTGGTTAATTGTGTACATTACATTTGGTATTTTTCAGTTGTTCTGGATACAAACCACTGGTTTCACAAGACTTTGATTGTGGAAGATGAACTGAGTATTACGATTGGTTCAGAGTATGATTAAAAACCATAATCAGAAAAGTATATAATAGACAATAGATTAAAATTATTTATAGGCTACGAATCCTTTGCTAAATACGGTATTGTTGTGTGCATCTGGGAGATCCAATTCTTCACCAGTACTTCCCCTTAAATTCCTTGTATTTTCCGATTTACAAAGTGATTACTTACCTACTTACTTAATCCGAGTCCTGAGCGGGACATAAGGTGTCAACGATCTTCTTCCATCTGGAGCGTTCCATGCCACACCCACCTTCTTCAGCTCGGCCATCACATTACGTCTCTGGGTGGTCCTAGACCTCCCTGCCTTTCTTTTTCCAGGTGGTGTCCATCTAAGGGCAGTCTTGGGAATACGGTTTTGGTCCATTCTGAGGACATGCCCAAGTCATTGCATTCTTCAGAGCTTGAGCACCATGATTCTCTGGCTCTGTTTTTTTCTTGTAGATTTATTTACAAGGTGATAGCCTAATAATATTAGGTCATGGACCTACTATTACTGTATTTTGAATATTGCAAGAAAATAAGCAAGTTTAATTTACATTTTGCCGTGCAGTAAGCAATGCCAATCAAATATGAAATGCATTAAGAATTTTCATTTTGAGTATAACTGTTTCAACTTGTTATTTCGTATATAAAGAGTGGCCATACATATTGAATATTTGTTTTGTACTTATTATGATGTCATTGATTGGCTTGTTTGTGTTTGGTGACGTGTGTCTTCCACTGCCATACATACTAACTATTCATATTTTCATACTTATACTGTTATTTGATTGGCTTTGTATATGTCATATGACCAGTCTTTCACCATATTTCTGACTCAGAATCATAGCTGTAAGATTTGATTCCTGCGGTTAAAACTCAAAAACATTAGGAGTCAATAATGAAAAACAAAATGTGTTTTACTTTTTATATTTTTTATTGTGCAATTTTTAATAATGAAAAATATAAAAACATTACATGGCAAGAATCCCTGATCATAAGGCACCATCTACTGTATAAGGCCCTGTCCACACTATCTAATTTTATTTGACAAAAACGATGACATCACATGACTATATATGGACATACTTTTCTTGTAAGTCTGAAAGTGTGGACAGAGCTTAAAGCCCTGTCCACAGTATCAAATTTTATTTGACAAAAACATGTGACATGCCTAAATATGGTCATCATGACATCACATCATCCCCATATATACGCACATCATGACTATATATGGGCATCCAACAGTCTTCTGTCAAAGATTTTATAGTGTAGACAAAGTATGGTTGTTGTGCTTCTCAGCCAGTACAATGAATAATTGATCATTAAAGCTGTTTTCCACTAGACAAATTTATTCGTGCGAATCAAAAATTTTCACCTATACGCATGCAGGCAGTTTAATTTTCATCGCGAGATTATCAATTGCGCATACGTATGGATAAAAATTTCCGATTTGCATGAATAAATTGGTCTAGTGGAAAACGGTCTTTAATCATTATTCATTATCATATTTACTAAATTCTGGTATAATTTTTAAAACTGTAAACACACCACATCAATACAGACATTACAGTAAGTGCTGTATTACATCCATGTAAAAAACCAGCATTAGAGGAGCACTATGCATTACAAACAATATATCATTAACATGATCAATATAGAAAGTGCCGTATAACCACGAATCCAATGGGGGAGCATGCCCCTGTTTTGACACTAAATTTTTTAAATTTCAGTCCACATCAGTGTTGTGTGTTGAAATAAGTAAAAAAAGAATACAAATTCACGCCCCCCCCCCCCCCCCCCCTCCTTTTTCAAAAATTACTTATTCAGTACAGTATGAATTTGTGTAATAGTGAGTAACATTCTTTCCTACTAATGCACTATAAAATATTCAGCCTGAAAACATTATAATATAAAAATAGCAAGAATTTCATTGATTTTTTTAAAGATTATAAAGGGCTATGTAACATATCAAAACTACAAACTACTACAGTACAAATATATATGTAAGCACTACAATGTGAGGCTTACAAATTTGTTCAGTCCTATACTTTATAATCTATATTATCATCTTATATCTTTTTATAATTGAATGATTGAATGAAATGAATGAATATACAGGTGTTCAATTGAAAGAATGAATGTATGTAGACATTTTACTTTGAGCAATCTTGGTTTTCAGTGTTTTATTTGTTTATTTTTTGTCATAGACAGATATAAATTATATGACATGATTTGAGGTCAGAAAATTTTATAGCACTGAACTGGATATAAGCTGAGCTTTTGGCAACATTTTCCCCAAAAACTTTTAAATAATAAAAAAAAAGTTTTGACTCTGAAGTTAATGCACAGCATACAGAAGCCAACCCTGTTAAATGCGACAAGAATAGACAGACTATAGTATAACATTACAGAAATATAAAGATGAAAAAACACTAATATCCCACACACACATATACAGTATAGCATGCACTAAGTTGTTTTAGAAATATACAATATTTTAAATTATATAAACAAAAAGAAATATATTTTCTACAAGAAAACAAATATATTCTAATTAAAATATTATAAATGCAAAGGTATAGCACAAAAGTCATTTCTCTAAATTGCATTCATAAGTACTGTACTGTGTATATATTTAAAGAAATGCACTAAGATTGCTAAGATTTTGTGTAATTAAAGTTTGTCTAAATTTATAATAAGATTTCATTAAGGCTGGTGCGACTCATACGTCCACGCTTTATGTCAACACAATGCTTTCTATTCCACAGACTGTCGGTAATTTCTAAAAAAAATTTTGAATACACGAATACCTGCAAGTGGAGCGCCTTAGGAGACAACTATGCTGTCCCGATATGTAATGATTCACCGTTGTATGTTTTCTTAATTATTTATAATTAATTTTTATCTATTTATTTAATTTTCCTTCCTTTTGATCGCAACATATATGGGTACTGTACAAACACATTGTGCAAGTATTACTCAACCGAATTTGACTTCCTTCTAAGTTGTAATTTATTTTTGTTTGTTTTGGACAAGAATTTGATACCTATGCATTTACTGCATCTTGAAGTTAGTTATTTGCACTTTATGTGTGATTCAGTTTCACAACCTTTGAAGTTGCGGGTTCAATTCCTCGCTGTGAATTTTTTTTTTGTGTCGTTGTGCAATGCACTTTAAGATTTTATCTCTTCAAGGAGTACAAGTGGGTGCCTGGTACGTTTGGACACCAATGCCTTGTGCAATATTATAAAATTTTCCAACAGGAAGTCGAATATGTATTAAACAGGTAATTGATCCGATCCAATGACCTTGGTAATAAGACTTTTTTAATACCTTGTTTGGCAAACTTATTTCTTTTCAGAGGATCATCAGAAGAGGGCAGGGGAAAAAAAATTAAAATAAAATTTTGTTATTCTATTTAGCAAATAAGTTTTGCCAAAAACATCCAGACGGAGGAGAAAATAAAAATAAAATTGTATTGGTTAATGTAAACAGTGTAGTAATGGGATGGTTACATGCTTTAAATTTATTTAATTAGCAAGAAATATACATATTTTTTTTTTGGAGATTTCAAAGCAGCAGTGGGCCTAATAAAAATAAATAAAATCTTTTATTTTTTTCTGAAATTTCATTTTTTTTTTGGCAGCGGGTGTGCTAATTTGCCAAAAAAAACTTATATTTTTATTTGAAATGATCTTTGTTGGCGGGCAACAGGTTTGCTAAACATGGTATGAAAAAGTCTCGCTTGATTTGGTTATATTCGTCTAATATATTATTATTATTAGTATAATTAATATTAAAATTGTCATCGCAACATCTAATGTATTTTTTTATACTTTCTCAAACTCTATAATATATATTATAATAATTTTATCCAAGTTAGATAAACAGTATAATTTGTTAATTATTTGATTTTACAACTAAAATTTAATTTGGTATAGCTAGGTTTAAGTACAGTAATATTGCTTTACAACTACAGGAAGGTATGCATTAATTAGTGGAATGCTTAAGGGTCTACTACATTTAAAAATCATCCTATTCTATTAGCACTCCATGAGCTACCCTAAGACTTTTAAGCATAAAGGTTTAAATTATGATGTCTTGTTGCCTCCTTTAGGCTAAACTACACTGAAGGAAGTGTGATACAGTGTACCTAGAATCACTAAAACATTCCCCCTCTGTAACACCAACTCCCCTCCACACCTGACCTCAATTTAAATCTGTTTTTCCAATCCCTTTACACCATAACTAAAGCCATATTCTACCATGATCCCTAACCATAACCCAAGATGTATTCCTTTACTATGTGCCCTTCTCACCATAACTCAAGCTATATTCTATCCTACTGTAACACCCCTCTACCTCCACCCACCATAACCAAGTCTTATTCCATAAAATTTCTATCATGTCCCCCTTCCCTAGCCTAGGACTGGGTACGACATTAAACTCCATCCAGTCGAAGCGTCGGCGACTAAACTGACAACCCTCTCAAATATGTCTTAGTGGCTGCTGAGGGGAGGGTGTTTATGGTCACCAAGCAGCAAGAAAAACCAATAGCTGATCAAAGGGCAGATGAGCTCCTCGGAGTCAACGCCAACCATTAATTAGTTTAAGGAATAGGAGTAGTTTAGTCTCGTTATTAATGCTATTATGATTATTTTTATTTTATTGTTATTATTTTATTGTTATTTGATTTTTCTTAGTTGGCCTATATTATTTCTCTGTAAAGCGCATAGTGGCAATGTGCAATATGCGCTATATAAATATAACATTATTATTTTCCCAACACTTTTCAATTTACAACCTCTTCCATCATAACTCAATCCACATTCCATCCTAGCTTGACCTCCAACCTCAATATTCTATTCTACCATGTCCCTCCCTTTCACAGCTTAACACAGTTACAGTGATCCACTTCACATCTACTTATTTAATTTTACCTTGCACCTCCCCCCCCCCTTCTCCATTATCTATTGTCTTTGTGACCATTACGTCCTTCCAGTGAAGTTTAGCCTGTAGCAGGTATGACATCATTTAGTAAGGAGGTGGTTCAGAGGATTCTTGTGTAATGGTTGTGGTTGTTGTCGTCGTTGCCGTTCTTTCCGAATTACGTCTGTCACGATAGGCCAAGAATGCACGGAAACTCAAGAATGTGCTAGCCGCAAAAAGGAAAGTCAACGTCCATGCCAGAAGCTTTTGAGGAAATAAATGACAATTATTTACATTGGTGAATTGTACAGACAATTGAATACATGGTACAATTCTTTTTCTATGCCATAGTCTTTATATCGATTTAATTATATTAAATCTGAAGTAAAACAAAAAAAGCCATCAATAAAATAGTACATTACAGTATACTTGTTTCAAGGAGATCCTTGGACCATGGTTTTATGAACCTTCCTGAGTGTCAATAAATCTAACTGAACAACTTGTCAATCAGAATAAGGCCAAGAATACGGGCGTGTCTAATAAGTCCCACAAACACGCATTCAAGAACACAGACTCTTTGAAGAAAAGCACCTGGTGTACTGCCCAATTCACCATCAGAAGGACCCGTCACCCTACTGGTCTTAAGAATTAACCTTGTTTTTTAAACACAAAAAAAACCAACCAGCCTATATTTTTATCCTCATAATTTTACTAAAATATTATGTAGATGAGTAATTGGCATAAATCACCTAGTACCTAGTGGCAGAGCCAGGAATTCAAAATAGTGGGGCCCAGGGGAGACTTTCAGAGACGGATGATCTAGACCACCTCTGCCCCACCACGGTCGGCTGAGGTTAAGAAAATTTATGATTATGGCACCTCTAGATTGCCGGAAATTGGAATCTCAAAACTAAATTTAATCATAATTAAACACCCTTTAATCCGCCTCTGGAACCTTTTTGACTGTCATGGGCAAAAACAATATAGCTTGATTGTACTGCACGTGTTGTTAATCATAGGATACTCATACTGTACTTACGGAGCAAAAGACAAGTTTTCCGTGATCTGGATAGTGGTTTGCCTGTCCTGCTCTCACTGAGGTGATGATGGCAGAAATAAAAAACAAAGCAGCAGACACAAAGTTGGCAATCAATTCCTGTAATGAAATAAACAAATGTTTGTAACTCACTGCTTAAAATCAACGCAACAAATTCAACCGCATGTTCTATAAAAGCTACTATCGCAGATACAATTATGTCATCTTAATTATCAATACAGTATATCAAATTTTTAAAGAATTGTCCAAGCAAAATCATAAACTAGTTTCTAGTCCCTACCATGTGTTTTTTTTTCTTGCTGCCAGTGCCAATTTAATATATAATTTTGAAGCCACACACCCTATTATTGTCAAATAACATTTTACGCTTACATAAACCAAAGACTGAATATAAAAAAAGAAGTTTTTCGTATCATGGGGGCAGAAATCTGGAATAACCTAAATAATTTAAATAATTTTGCAACAACTGCTCCTACTATTTATACTTTTAAAAGACTAATAAATAAATGAGAAGATTAAATATTTTGAATAATGAACAAAAAATCTTAAACTGTTCGTCATGACATCATTTTTTGGTCTTTTGTCTTTATGTTAATATTTTTAGTCTTTTGTCCTTATAATGTTAATATTTTAGTATTTTACATTTCTTTGCTAATATGTATTTTAATATATTTGTTCTTTGCTAATATGTATTTTAATATATTTGTTATGTGTTTTTTTTTTTTTTTTTAATTTAAGTTTCATCATTTTATTCTTATCTTCTTGCAAAATGGCCTTGTGAAAAACAGCAATATGGTGATACAAGTTTTCTCCGTTTTAAAATAAAGTTATTATTGATTTCTATAATCAAGTTTTCACTCAATATTTGAAAACACAAAATAAAAATCAAACCCAGTGTTAACTTACTGACAATTCCCAGGCAATAAAGGGAATTTTTTCATTTAAACGAAGGAGGAAGACAACAAAGTAAACAATAACGGTTATCATTGCAGTTATCCCAACGAAAATCATGAATCCGACTCTAAAATGTTCAACAGCACAGAGTACGACCCAGTACAGAAAAGACACAACCTAAAAAAAAAAATAAAGAAATTATTTTAAGATTACCAGTAAATTTAAAACGGTAAAACCACATATATTGACTGTGGCTAAGGTTAAGTAGAAATCGGTTATCCACATGGCAGATGGGTGGATAAGTAGAAAGGAGTTTACCACTCGGCAGATGGGTGGATAAATTTAAGTAGAAAAATTGGTTACACCCAGCTGATGAAGCCAGGGCCTCACCGTACACCACTCCAAATGAGGGTAAAAGAGGCTTAAGTGAGCCTTTTTTTAATACCTTGTTATGCGAACTTATTTTTTTAAAGATCATCAGAGCAAAGAGCCTGTGTTAAATAAGAGCCAGAAAAAAATAATAAAATTTTGTTTTCTTATTCAGCAAAGGGTTTTACCAAACATATCCAGACGGAGAAAATAAAAATAAAATTTTGTTGATGAATATAAACCATGTAGTAATGGGTTTTAAGGTTATTTTTAATCAACCAATGACAGTGAAGACGTACTTACAGAACGTTTCGAGACCTGTCAGGTCTCATTCTCAACTGGCGTTTCATTACTTCCGTCTAGCAGAGGAATGTGCGATGACATTGCGCTGCTTTGAAATAACCTCAAAACCTAAATACTACTACAAACCCAAACAAACAGATGAATTTACTTTAATGTGTAGGTATAATTGGATGGTTAAATGCTTTAAATTTATATGATTTGGAAGAAATACACCTTATTTTAACAAGGCAGCGACAGGCGTATTAAAAATAAAGAAAAACTATAATTTTTTTCTGAATTTCTATTTTTTCATGGTAGCGGGTGTGCTATTTGGCCAAATATAAAATTTTATTTTTATGCCCGGCGAAATCATCATTATTGGCGGACGGCGGGTTCGCTAAACATGGTATAAAAAAAAAAGTCGTGCCTTATAGGTCTAGCCTAGCCCTCATGTGGCCGTCTATTTTCCCCTCTTGACCTCTTAAACTTTGACTTGTATAGTCAGCTTTATTAACTGTAGGCCTACTGTACTGGCTAAATCACAGCAGTAGGCCTAGGCTAGGCCTATCCAATACTTTTTAATTAATAAGCCTACGTTCATCCAGGGAGATTTTATAACAACTCCCTGGTTAATCATAGTCTATAATATTGCGAATGGCCTAGTGCTACGGCCAGACCCTAGCTGGCCTCAGTCTAGTTAGAGAGGGAGACAGATGAGTATTTTGGTCTTACGATCTGTACGATATGAAGAATTGAAGGCAGCGAGCGAAGATACGCCTGGTCAACTCTGATACCACCGCTATTCCCCGGGCCACTCCCCTGGTTGGAGGTAGTAGTAGCGTGGTAAGCAGTAGATGTCGTTGTGGTAGTCGTTTGGACGGTATCTGGAAATTCACTTTTATCCATTTTGGATAATTTTAACCTCGTTGACTGTCAGTTGTAATAGTCTATAAATCAAGGAAACGATGACTTCCAATGGTGGACCCTTACAGGCAACTCCTATTGAATTACGCGTTTATTTATTTACTATTCCAGAGTCGATAGGTGGGGCTATTCAAAAAAATCTGATGGTTCAGAAGGAAAATTCTAAAAGGAAATTTTTAAAACTAGGGAGCAGACATCATGTAATATTAGGCCAAACAAAATAAATTGTTTGTTTGCCCTTTTTTTTTAAAATGATAAATAAGGGCCAGGTGAAAAAAGTTATTTTTTTATTTTTTATTTTTTTAAGATACTAATCAGATGGAATAAAAATAAACTGCCTTAGAGGTCTAGAATGCAATATCTTACATCAGACAACTTTAGACTAATTTGTAGTGTATCTTTCAAAAAGATAAATTCACTCACTTTTTTTTTAATTTGTAAAGAAAAAAGCTAATTTTTAATTTAATTTTTTTTTTTCGCCCTATGTTTCTTCAGTGAGTTAGAGGCGGGTGGAAGAGGGCAAACAATTTATTTTTTTAGCCTTATTGTAATATGACTGCTCCTTGGTTAAAACAATTAAAATAGTCAAAACTTGAATTTTAAAAGCTGTTACGTAACATCATTACACAAGGTAGTAAGAATATAAAAATAAGACAATAAGGGTAATTTTGATTATTTTAATTATTAGGCCTTTAAGTGAAGATAAACAGCACTTTACAGGCCCAGAACATATTATTATTTTTTTTTTTTTCGTGAAGTCCTGTTTGTCATCAATTTATCACCTAGACTAACATGGCTTACATTCTCTATTTCATCAAACTAGGCTGCTAATATAAGTAAAAATATAATAAATATAATATTTCTGATAGGGTGAGAGCAGGAGAAAGCAGAGTAGTTGAAGATTACTGCTGTTAATATTATGGTAGAATCATTTTCATTGCAATAAGTTAATAAAATTAAAAATTAGAACAAGAAAATTTCCTCTACCATTCTTGGATATCTGAAGATCATTTTTAATTTATTTATTTATTTTTTTGTGTGTGTTGGGGTTGGGTGTTAGGATATTTATAAATGTATTTTGGTATCCAGTACCAAGTGCTAAACGTAAAACGTACGATAACATGAATAATGTCAATTTTTGTAAGCCTGGAGAAGAAATTTTTGGTTCTCAGAGATACATGCAACATGCATCCAAAATAGCAGACTGTTGAATAAAATACATTTGTTTCAAGGGTGGCACCAGGGTTTGCCCAACCTGAAGGGGATGGGAGGGGATGTCCCTGATGAATTTGCTTCCATTAGTTTTGTTTACAGTTATTTAGGAGTTCATTCAAGAAAAAAAATAAATGCCACAGGACATTTATTAGAGGGAGCTGTTTATTCCAAATGAGGCTCTGAAGGAGGAATTTATTCGAGGGGGGATTTTATTCACAGCGGGCAGTTTTTTTCAAATAAATATGGTATTTTTTCCCCTCCCCGACA